GGCACAAGTGTGACAAGTGTGCCGTTTCCACGATCAGCCAAGTATGCAACCCATTCAGCAATGCAGGCCGTCATGATCATTGACAGTTGTATCGGACAGGTGGTGAAGATCCTGCGGTTGTTTATCTCAAAACGGTTGTTGTTTCCTCCGTGTAAGGCACTCGACTTTCCCATTCGACACGATTTCATTGCCGGAGCTACCCAAACCACTGAACCCGTCTGACAACCGTCCCAACCCTGCACAGACGCTCATATGAACATTTGATTCATGTAGCCCGTATATGTGCCGAAGCAAAATCGAAGTCCAGTCAGAGAAAGAGCTGACCTATGGCCTGTCACCTGTAGCTACCGCCGGCGCGCCGGTGCAGAATGGGCTGCCAGGCCAGGGCATATGGGGATTTCCGAAAATAGGGGACCCTAATATAGTGCCCTAAATAGTAGGACCCTTATTATAAGGACCCCAAAATAAGGTACCCCCCCCATTTTCGGAAACTCCCATATCATACTGGGCAGATCGCATGTGCTGATATAGAAGTCCGGTGAACTTGAGCGACAACAGGTTAGGGTTTAGGGTTCAGGGTTTAGGGACAATCGAGGCGACAGCACTGCTATGATAGTGGCAGCAGGCAATAATTCTCGCTACTATGGTAAATAAGCATAAGTAGTACTTGTTCCACGCTTCTCATTATTTCTGTTGCTGCTGCTACTACTACTACTACTGCTGCCACTATTAAACTACCACTGCTACTCCTTCTCTCCGACTCCTACTTACGTCTACGTTCATCCCAGCTTCTGGGGCTCTCGATGGCTTTACCACCACTCACGAAACCCCCCGAAACCCATGTAAACCCCTAACAATCCCTGCAGAACCGTATGAAACCCTCAAAATAATCTTGCAAAGCCCTAATAAAGGCCTCTCATAAAGACCGTATAAAGCCCTTGCAGCACCCTAAAGCCTTATATAACACCCCCCGAAGGCCCCCCCCCCTAAACCTAAAGCACCTGACAAAAAGAAGCCCCTGCTAGGCTTCGAAGGCAGAGGCTGGGCCAGTTTGGGCGGGTTTCGGGCTTGGGGGTTTCGGGTTTGTATTTGTAGGGTTCGGGGTTTCAGGGGCTTTGGGTTTAAGGGTTTGGGCTTAGGGTTCATGGGCTTTCGGGCTTGAAGTTTAGGATCTGGGGGTTAACTTTAGGGTTTAGGGTTTAGGGTTTGGGGAAGGAGCGTATGTAGTGTTGGGTTTTTACTGCTCTCTGCGTGGTGTTTTTTTTGCATGTTGTAGCTTTTTGAGGGGAGGGAGGGAGGCGGAAGGGGCGTGGGGGGGGGGGGGGGGGGGCGAATCTGCTGGGATATGGTGTCTTTTTGCAAGGTTGTCACGTTTGTTCACGATCTTGTCGCGGATCTCTGTGGGAGTTTCCGAAAATAGGGGACCGTAAAAAGTAGTACGCTAAATAGTATCATCCTTATTACAAGAACCCCCCAAAACAAGGTACCCCGTAATTTTCGGAAACTCCCACGTTTCATTTTTTGTACAGTTCCTTTTTAACGCAGTTTTGCAGCTGTTGTCCGGGCAGCCCGGGCAGACCCAAAGACGCAGAACGTAGGAACGCAAAAGGTAAAAACGGCAAAAGGCCGCATGAAGCTGTTACCTGAGGTACTGCTTTTTCTACAGTAAGAGTCTATAATAGGGCCACTATTAAGGTCTCCTAGTATATCTAACCATCCATGCCGGTTTATGCTGTTTTGTACCGTTTTGGGATATGTCGGGCTGGGCGGCTGGGCGCAAGGGTGTTCGATCATACGGTTCATGCGGTGTTGCACTGCTTTATACGATTTGTCATGGTCTCATACGTTTTCTCACTGTTTTATACTTTTTGTAACGTTCTTTTCACGCTTCGTCCTGGTCCTGTACGGGTTTTATGTGTTTTTTCACGGCTTTCTGGGCTCTTTCGCGGTTTTGTGCCTCAGAGCTGGGCTTAGGAGTTTTGGGGGGGGGGGTTCAGTTATAGGATCCTTAAGGGAGGGTGGTTCAAGGGGGGAGGGTACAAGGAATCCTTCGGGGAACCTTAGGGAGTACTAGGGAGAGTTAGGGATCACTAGGCCATGTACCCCCCTTGGAGCCCCCTCCCTTAAGGATACTATAATTCAGGGTTCCAGGCTGATCGCTTTTTGATGTTTCTTGGACTCTGAACCCTACCTCAATCCAGATTCCCGGGAGGATCCAAAAAGTAGATCCTTTAATGGGGGTTCCTACAAAGTACCCTTAGTAGTATAGGGCCCCAAATAAGGGGATCTACTTTCTAGATCATCCCGAAACTCTGGGGACCCGCCAAAACCTGCCTTTTTGCAGGGTCCCGATGAAATATCGAGTAGGGTAGGGTTCAAGTAAACCCTAAAGGCTTAAGCAAGTGGGGGCTTGGGTGTCAGGCTGAGCGTAGCGTCGTAGACTTCAAGTGCATGCGTTTTCTGTTATGGCTTGGTATTCAAAGACATGTTGTAGGATGGGCCGGGCTTTATTGAATCTGCTAGGGGAGGGCTTGCAAGGTGTAGTCTGGTGACCTGCTTGTATGATCGAGGCTAGTATTCTAGTCCAGGACAGGTGCCAAATCTTGCAAACCCTGAACGCATCAGGTGGGACTGAGCCGCCGACGAGACCATATCCTGGCCCACCTCACGAACCGCTCAATCCTCTACCCCTACACCAAACCCAACCCTAAACAAACCCTAAACCCTCAAAACCCTAAACCCTTGTAGATCCCCCATAGATCCCTTAAAGGAATCATAAGCCCTAACCCCCCGAAGCCTTAAACCCCGAACCTCTAGCGCCATCGCAGAAAACTCGTCGTCGAACCCTTCTTAAATCCTCATGGACCCCTCGTAGTAGACCCTGAACCCTAATCCGTAAAAACCTTAATTCCCAAACCTTAATCCCAAAACCGGAAACCTTAAACTAAATTCTGAGCTCTTTTTGAGGGGAGTTATAGTAGTAGCCAGAAAGTTGGAACATCATGATCCTCATGCCCTTAAGGTAAAGTATAAGCGATCCTAGCACTAATCCTCCTAAAGCCATGTTCCAACTTTCTGGCTTCTGCTATAATAACCCGAAGGGTCCTAGGTACTGTTACGGGGGATACTTCCCCAAATCATCGTAGTAATTCCTAATATAGAAACCCTACGTTCTACCATAATGGTACTCTTTTTAAGGGGAGCTATGCGAAGATACGGCCAGGAAAGCAGACAGCGAAAGCGCAGACCAGAGGACCACTCCGGGAAGTTCGATCAAGGGTTGAGTGGTTTAGGGTTTAGGGTTTAGGGTTTAGGGTTTTGGGGTTTAGGGTTTAGGGTTTAGGCTTTTGGGTTTGGGGTTTAGGGTTTAGGGTTTAGGGTTTAGGGTTTAGAGTTTATAGAAGGTGTGTAGGGTTTGGGTCCGGAGTTTTGGCGGGTTTCGGGCGGGTTTCGAGCGGGTTTTGGCGGGTTTTGACAGGGTTTTTGCTTTTGCTTTTTTTGTGCAGGTGGCTTTGTTTTGTGCTGCCTCGAGCCCTGCCCTGCCCCTGCTGTGCCCTGCTGTGCCCTGCGTGCTGCTGTGCCCTGCCCTGCCCCGACCCGTTTGCACTGCCCTGCCACGATGGAAGTTGTGTTGGGTTTGGGTCCGGAGTTTTGGCGGGTTTTGACAGGGTTTTTGCTTTTGTTTTTTTGTGCAGGTGGCTTTGTTTTTTGCTGCTTCGAGCCCTGCCCTGCCCCTGCTTTCGGGCTCTCGCGGAACAACAAATTTGCAATGAAAAGACATTTTTCACATCATGCTTATTGCTATTGTCATGACCCTGCCATCCGAACCGTCCAACACACACCTTCTATTTATCATTTGCTTGAGGGTTTAGGGTTTTGGGTTTTGGGTTTAGGGTTTTGGGTTTTGGGTTTTGGGTTTAGGGTTTTGGGTTTTGGGTTTGGGTTTGGGGTTTAGGGTTTAGGGTTTTGGGTTTAGGGTTTAGGGTTTAGGGTTTTGGGTTTGGGTTTTGGGTTTAGGGTTTAGGGTTTAGGGTTTTGGGTTTTGGGGCCTAGGTGTAACTATATCCTTAGGATTTTTTTGGTTTTGTTCATATAAAACCCAAGAGAATGTTGAACATACTCTTTTTGTTATGGTTCTAAGGGGGTGGGGTATAGGTAAGGGTTGAGGGTTTAGGTTTCAGGTTTTCGGATTTTGGAGGGTTGGCTGTTTAGGTTTGAGGGTTAAGGGTTCGGGTTTGAGGTTTAAGGGTTTAGGTTTGAGGGTTAAGGCTTCGGGACTTAGGTTCGAGGGTTAAGGGTTCGGGACTTGGGTTTGAGGGCTTCGGGTTTGGGGTTTTTGGGTTTGAGGGTTCAGGGCTTACAAAAAGGGTCCACGTCCTCATATAGTATATACATTGGCCTTAATGTAGTCCCTATATAGGTACTTTGGGGCCCATGTATCTCTGTGTGGGTACATGGGCCCTTAGGGTTAGGTTCGAGGGTCATGGAGCTGGCCGGCTTGTGTCGGGTGCTCCAGACGACGTTCCCCAGCAGATGTCTCTCGCCCTTTCTATGTTAGGGTTCAGGGTCTAGGGTTTAGGGTTCAGGGTTAGGGTTGCTTAGCAGAATTGAATATTAGGGAAAAGGGTACCCGTATTATGAAGGTGCAGATGCTGCCACAACACTCGAGGACATGACAGGCAAATCGGAAGCGGGTAACCTACACTCAGAGAAAAACGCAAGAAGGGTGCAGCATTCAAGAGTCCAGGGTTCAGGGCTTCAGATTGCGGGCACGGCGCAGTGAAGATTCTGTGGAAACCCTGAACCCTGACGCCCTGATCCTAGAGCCCTCGAGGCCCAACCCTCAAGCAGAACGCTTTCGAAAACCCGAGACAATCCTACGCAATCCTTTGCGAACCTTAAGTTCTAAGCCCAACCCTAAACCCTAAACCCTAAACCCCTCAACCCCAAACCCTAAAAACCCTGAAAGCTACGAACCCCGACTCCCGCAGAGTCGACAGGCACTTGCCTGGCTACAAGCGGCACAGACATGGTCGCAGGCCGATTGGGGCGCTTGTAGAACTTGTAGGTGTTTGTGTTTTTTTTTCAAATTGTTCCATTGTTTTTTGATGGTATTTTTTGTTGGCTTTAGGATTTAGTGTTTGGGGTTGAGTAGTGCATTTTTGCATCACAGCTTTTTTGTTGCAGGGGTTTAGGGGTTTGGTAGACTTGAGAGTGCATCCAGGTACGACTTCGGGTACGATTCCGGGCGCGATCGCACCCGGAGTCGCACTTGGGATCGTACTCTTGTTTTGGGTACGGCCCCTACTCAGTAATAGTTGAATAATATTCATAATAAGATATAGATATATTAGGACCTTAGTAGTAGCCCTATTATAGACTCTTACTGTATGGGGGCAGTACCTCAGTTTTCCCCACAAAGTGCTTCCAGGTACGACTTCCAGTACGATTCCGGGTACGATCGTACCAGGTACTTGGAATCGTACTTGTACAGCAAGAAGTGCAGTCCCGGATTCGACTTCCGGTACAATTCCAATTCGTACATGAACTTGTGCTTCAGAATCGTACCCAGAACCACAAAATAATTCGTTTAGAGGGCTACAAGGGTTGCCTTCAGGGACGTCATTAGACTATAGACTGTATTTCCTCAACTTCCCAAGAGGAGCCAAACCCAAAACCCAAAACTCCAAACCCAAAACGCCGAACTACAAACCCTATACATCAAACCCTAAAGTCCCTTTACAGATCCCTTCTAGGAGCCTTAAACACGAACTCTGCATGAAGAGGAACCCTATAAACCACCCCTCAAGCTGTATTTCCTTTCTGCAAACCCAGACCCCCGAAAGGATCTAGAAAGTAGATTCCCTAATTTGGGGCCCTATACTACTAAGGGTACTTTATAGGATCCCTCATCAAGGGCTCTACTTTTTGGATTTTTTGCGGGGGTCTGGGAAAGGAGCCACGCGAAGCACTTAGCTGGCCGGCGCTGCGACTTGGCTTGCTCTCAGTGTGTCCTACTTGGAGGCCCAGGGACTTAGTAAGTAGGTTATAAGTAGGGTTACAATTGGGGTATCTCCATTTAGGGTACTTATAACCCTGCTTACAACTTACTTACTAAGTCCCCTGGGCCTCCGAGTAAGCTCAACTGGGGTTTCGGGTTTGGAGTTCAGTACTTTAGAGGGCCCAGAGGGTTCAGGGTTTGGTGTTTCGGGTTTAAGGTTCGTAAGGATCCAGTCTACCAGGATTTAAGGCTTTGCAGGGTATTACATATTCTTGTAAGGGGTTTAGACGGTTTTCAGAATTTTTGTTGCATGGTGACGTGGAGCTTGATTACTGATACCGCGCATGTATCCTTATTGTGGTCGCTGCAACAGAGTGCTTTCATAAGATCCCTAAACCCTAAACCTTTGCGGAAAGGGTCCATTGCACTTTAAAAACCTCAAACCAAACCTTAAACCCCTAAACCCTGAACCCTGAACCCAAACCCTTAAACCCTAAACCCTAAACTCTAAACCCTAAAACCTAAACCCTAAACCCTGAACCCTGAAAAGCAGAGTCTGCCGTCAGACCGGTGGGGCATTCTTTCTGATGCTGGTGTTTGCCAGGACTACTACCTGGACCCTCAAAGTATGTAGAATAATGGCCTTTTTAAGGTATTGGGCATGTTTTTTACCGTTAAAAAATAATGGCCTTTTATAGGTATTGGGCCATTATTTTGCCTACTTTGGGTTTAGGACTCATCACTGTGTTCACAGTGTGGCCCTGTTACAACTGCTACTGCGCTTGCTGTCAGTAGTAATACCACTAATGTAGCTCTTATGATTATCATTATTATGCTGTGTAGCATGCACTGTTTGTATAAGATATCTAGGCAGTCCGTTTCTGCTTGACGACATCTGCTACTGCTACTGCTACCGCTACGGATACTGCTCTGCTACTGCTGCTACTACTGCTACGTCCCACTCCTGCTCTTACCCTCGAGCTCCAAACGCCAAACCCTGAAACCTCAACTAAGACCCAGAGTAGGCCCTTATTCCCTTTTTCAGGGTTTAGGTTACCTTGTAAGCCCCTTTTAGATCAAAAAAGGCACCATTTTTATTCCTAGCTTACTCTTAGGCCCCTAACCCTAGACCCCAAACCCCTATAGATCCCTTAAAGGAACCCCTGAGGTACCCTGTAAAGGACCCCTTAGGTCTAGTCACCCCTGTGCAAGGAAGGGGCTTCTTGGTGGTCAGGAAGTTCTCAGGCCCGCAGTGACGAAGTTGGCATGTGGAGTTCCTCTGAGGCTGGTAATATAGGGGCCTAAATAATTACCTATACCATTTTGGGGGTTCCTTCTTGCAATTATAGTAGAATGGGCCCCAAAACCCTATTCTAATTATTAGTGCCCCTATAGTAATAGGCTTTCACAAGGTCTCATAATGGGCTTTAGGTTTTTTTTTAAATAGGGTTTCTTAAGGTCTGATCTGGGTCTGTAGAGTCTTTATAGGGCTTTGTTAGGGTTCGATACAGCTCTCAGGGGCCCTGATGATGCTTTAATGTAAAAAGCATGGGGTCTCAAGAAGGGTTCTATGAGGATCAAGGTATCTCATTTCGGTCTTAGGGGGTGTTTAGGTTTTGGTGGGTTTAGGGTTTAGGGGTTTAGGGTTTAGGGGTTTAGGGGTGTGGGGTTTAGGGGTTAGGGGTTTAGGGTTTAGTGGTTTAGGGTTTGGGGTTTAGGGTTTAGGGGTGTGGGGTTTGGGGGTTCCTGCATTGGTACTGGGTTTCGGGTTGAGGATTCCCGCGGAGTGGAGGGCTTGATGTTGCGCGATTGGCTCTTGTGCGATCCTCCCTGCAATGCTCAAACCCTACACCCTGAACCCCTAAACCCTAAACCCCTTAACCCCTTAACCCTAAACCCTAAACCCTTAACTCTAAAACCCCTAACCCCTAAGGCCCCAAACCCTAACCCCATAATGGAAATCCCATGTCAGTGCTAGAGAGCCCAAACCCGCAACCCTGAACCTGAACCCCAAAACCTGAGCGCCGAAACGCGAAACCCTACATGGATGGTTGTCAAAATTATGGTCCCTTTTCGGGTCTTTGATATAGTACGGCACCTAATATTTAGGGTACAAACCCTAAACCCTAAACCCCAAAACCCTAAACCCTAAACCCTAAACCCTAAACCCTAAACCCTAAACCCTAAACCCTAAACCCTAAACCCTAAACCCTAAACCCTAAACCCTAAACCCAAAAAAAAAAAAAACCCTAAACCCAAAAAGGGACTCTAATCTTGACCACCACCCACATACCTCTACAGATCCTCCAAGAAGGAGCCCGGGAGCCCCGCAAGAAGCCTGTAAGCGAATTTAGGGCTTTAGGGGTTTAGAGTTTAGGGTTTAGGGTTTAGGGTTTAGGGTTTAGGGTTTAGGGTTTAGGGTTTAGGGTTTAGGGTTTAGGGTTTAGGGTTTAGGGTTTAGGGTTTAGGGTGCATATGCTGCATATGTACATACATAAGCATATATGTATACATATATGTATATACACAGACATGTATACACATAGACTGTATGTATGCAGACAGACAGAGACAGACAGAGAGAGAAACAGATAGATAGATAGATAGAAAAATCCCTTGAAGTAACCCCTAAGCCCCAAGCCGTAAATCCCAGACACTAAACCCTAGACTCTAGACCCTATAGTAGAAGCCCAAAAGTTGGAAACCCAATAGCCACAATCCTGAAAAGTAATGTATAGGGAATCCCAGCACTATTTGGCTTTGATCCGGTTTCCAACTTTTTGCCCTAGAGCCTAAACCCCTAAATCCGAAATTCGAGACTGGAGACCCTAACCCCTAAAGCCTAAACTCCTAAACCCTAAACCCTAGACTCTAGACCCTGACCCCTTAAAGCCTAAACCCCTAAACCCGAGACTCTAGACCCTGACCCTTAAAGCCTAAACCCCTAGAGACTCTAGACCCTGACCCTTAAAGGCTAAACCCCTAGAGACTCTAGACCCCAGACCCTAACCCCTAAAGCCTAAGCCCCTGAACCCCTAAACCCTAAACCCTGAACCCCTAAACCCTAAACCCCTCAAACCCTAAACCCCTAAACCCTACACCGTAACCCCTACTTGGAGGGTCGGGGGACTTAGTAACTGGTTATTTTATGGACTTATAACCCAATTAGGGTCCCTTTTAGGGTACTTATAAGTCTACTTACTAACTACTTACTAAGTCCCCCGACCCCCCAAGTAACCCCTAAACCTGAAACTTGGGGTCTCCCGTCACCAGGCGTGGCGTTGAGGGTTCGATCCGGCCGCATGTGGACGGAGAGGCGGAGCAGAGCCCAGGGACTTAGTTTAGGGGTTCCCTTTAAGGGTACTATAGGGTTCTATAATAGGGTCCCCTTTAAGGGTAGTATAGGGTTCTAAGGCGTTTCATGCTTAGAGGCCCAGGTGACTTAGTAAGGGTTCTTAAGGGGCTCCTTAAAGGGATCTATAGGGCTCCTTGAAGGGATCTATGGGGTTTAGGGTTTAGGGTCTACTTAGGGGCCCAGGGGACTTAGTAAGTAGGTTATAAGTAGGGTTTTCAGTACCCTAAATGCAGGTGCCCCAATTATAACACTACTTACAACCTACTTACTGAGTCCCCTACGCCCTAGGATTTGAGCTGCGGCTTTTTGCTTTGGGGGTTTTGGGGTTCAGGCTTTGGGGGTTTGGGGGATTCAGGGTTTGGGAGTTTGGGGTTTAGGGTTTGGGGTTTTTGAGGTTCAGGCTTTGGGGGTTTCAGGGTTTAGGCTTTGGGGGTTTGGGGGGTGCAGGGTTTGGGGGGTTTAGCAGTTCAGGGGTTCCGGGGATTAGGATGTAGGAGTTGAGTGAAAGGTTTAAGGATATGCTTCATAGGACTTGAGTATTGGTTTCAAGATTCCTCGAGGTTCCTTTCAGGCTTGCTACAAGGATCAATTTGAGGTAGGATGAGCAGTTTCTGGTTTTTGAGCTGGATGAAGGGGTTCGGGGCTTTGGATTTAGGATTTCGAGGTTTAGGGGTCTACAACACAGGTAGGCTCGGTATTTTTCTAGAACCGTGTATCTGGGGGCAGGGGGGTTCGGGGTTTCGGGTTTAGGTGGTAAAGGGCGCTTCAGAAGGCTTTGCAGGTTCTGTGAAGTTCTGTTGGGTTTATGCATGGCATTGTAAGACTGCTTTAATGTAGGGGCCTCAGTGATTAGATACGATTCTGCGGGTTCCTAATTAAAGTTGTAGTATAATAATTGGCCCCAAAGCCCCATTCTAAACTATTAAGACCCTTTCGTACGGCTTCTACAGAAGCCGATGAATTTGGCGACAAGTTCAAGCTCGTCTTCACGTCGTCTGGCGCGGAATTCCGCCGCCGGGAGCGGACAAAAGAAGGGGAGGATGATGTCGCGCACTCCACTGACAGAGAATATTCCCGAGGTGCCCTCGTTTGAGGAATTCAGGTGGTTCAAGGCACACGGCATTTTGCGTGAGCCAGCCCTCTCGCCCGAAGCAGAGGATTTTGCCTTGTGCTGTGGCTGCAATCTGGTTCAGGTAAGGCAGAGTGCCATTGTCCATTGTCCAGTGGACAAGGCCGAGTTATTATCCGCCATGGCTTCCAACCGCATTAAAACACTCTGAACGAGTTTGGAAGGAAGATCCCTCAGTGTTGGCTGCGCTGCTTGGCTCGAACACACGACTGCTGCTTGATGGAGATTTGAGATGATGGGATATGGGATGAAGTTAACCCGTCTATGACCTAGAATATGCGGACGACATACTGTTGATGGGGTCACCAGCACGCAGCTAGAAGAGATCCCCATATGCAACACTCGAAACATCCTGTCTGAACCCCGAAACCCTGCCCCTACCACAACATTGCCCTAGACCCTAAACAACCCCAAACCCTCACCATTGCTCATTTGAGAGGTTCTGAACTCTCTAGTGTCTGGATTGCCAGAAACCCACCACCCTAGACATATAATTCAATGGGAGGGTTGGGTTTAACACGAGTCTCAAGAAAACCTATACCCGTCAGTTCAACCTTAATATAGTTACCAGTCTTATTCTGTGGGCCTCTTTATTACAATTGAAACGCCAACGCATCCTGAAGCTTCGAAGCTGCACGGCCTAACTCGCAACCCCCCCCCCCCACCCAAAGAAAAGCAGGCTCCGAAATACAACCTGCCAAGCACCTAACTCTTTGTCTGAAACTCACACTCTAAACCCTGAACCCCCGCCCTAAGACTCCCTCCTAATGTAGCAACCTGAATAAGAAACCTTACGCCCTTTGTTAGGGTTCCTTATATGAATTCTACTGTTTTGGTGCTATAGGCCCAGGGTTTCTTAATCAGGTTCCTACATTACCCTGATAGATCCCTTAAAGTAACCCTTTTAGATCCCTTTAAGAGAACCCCCAAACAAGGCCCAAAGGTTTCTTAATCAGGTTCCTACATGAACCTGAACCTTCAATCCTCCATCCCCAGCCCTAAACCCGCAACCCTGATGCCAAGTCGTAGGTCCGGAACTTAGACAGGGATTCGATGTGGACACAAAACCCTACAGTCTAAACAACTAATGAATAGTTTTTACTAAAAAACGTTGTTTGTAAACACAGCTTCTTATAGCCAATTCACGAAGATTGGACAATTTCTCATACCGTTTCTCAGAGCCCGGTGTTAGTTAGTAGCTGAGTAGGTAACCTTAAGAACCTTTTGGCGTTTATGTAACCCTACCATACTTGAAAGGTCAGCCTATTTTGGGCTCGGGTATTCAGCCCCTCTCGTGCAAGCCCACAAGTTGGAAACCCAATAGCTTCAATATTTAAGAGTAGTGTATCGGGAATCGCAGCATCATTCGTCCTTAATCAGGTTTCCAAGTTTTAGGGGGTTACCATGAGACTTTATCTCAAAATCCCCTTGTTCTAGTTATGGCACGGCTTACCTGAAACCCTGTTCTAATTATTAAGGCCGCCCATATTATAGCTCTTTTTGTAGCTCTTTAGAAATCCCTTTAATGAATGCGAACCCCTATTCCAATTATTAAGGCCCCTACGCTAGAGTACCCTTATTGTATCCCTTATAGTAGCCCTTATAGACCCCCATAATTCAACATTCCAAGAGGATCCGATGTGGCCTGAACCCTAAACCCTAAACCGTTATTCAGTGCCCCCCCCCCCCGCCGACCCAGAGTAGGCCCATATTTTATTTTTTAGGATTTAGGTTACCTTCTAAACCTCTTTAAGCCAAAAAAGGCACCCTGTTTATTCCTAGGTGACTCTAATGTCTAGTATTCCCTAAGCCCAAAACCGTTATTAAGTGCCATTAATTCAAACCCCAGCAGGATTCGATGTGGACCTCCGATGTTCTGCTTCGGGAAGCGCTCCCTGGCTGCCTGACATCCATCTCTCTCTCTCTCTCTCTCTCTCTCGCTCTCTCTCTCTCTCTCTCTCTCTCTCTCTCAGCATACGAATAATGCTACTGTAGTATTACTACTAGTACCCATAGTATCAAGAATATTGATACTAAGAATAGCAAGAGCCCTCAGTTCGTTCTTCTTTTGGGGGTCTACGGACATTTTGGTGGGGGTTTGTAGCGATTAGGTGCAGGGGTGTTCGTTTCGTGCTGGCTGGGAATCTCGAAGAGTGTGGCAGCAGACAACCCTAAACCCTAAACCCCAAACCCTAAACCCTAAACCCTAAACCCATCCAGAAGTGGTCCTGAGCGGATATAAAACAGTCGTAAAATGGCCAAACTAGCAGTGGTAGGTAATATAGGGGCCTCAATGACTATTTTTGGGGGTCCTTGTTTTATTTATAGTACAATATACCCTAAACCCTAAACCCCCAAACCCTAAACCCTAAACCTCCAAACCCTGTTCTACTTATTCCGGGCCCTTTTGGTAGTCACACTGGTAGCCCAGCCTTCCAGGCTGAGCAAGAATATGGAAGGCTTGCCATGGCGGTGGGGAAATCCCACGATGCGCTATATATAAAACCATAAGTATAACAAAAAACCACCAAAATAATATCAATTAATGAGGACTTCCTTCCGGGGGAAGTCACAGTGCTGGAGAAGGTAATTAGTCTTCGCGTTTTGCCTCTCCAGAACCGATAGAGCGAACGAAGATGAAGATGCTTATTGGCTGTAAACTCAACTTTTCACCTACTTTCAGCATCGACTACCTTATAAGGTCGTCGATGTTGAAAGTTCCAGCTTTTATTTCCCTGGGTTTTGAGCCAGTGAGGATGTGGGTTTTCCAGAGCAATAGCCACGCAGAAGCAGTTCTCAAGATTGGAGAAAGTTTGGATGCAGGGTATGAAGCAAGCCGTGTTTTCCCCAAGCTCCAGCTGCCCATCCAGTCCTGTTAAGAGTTGATCTGGACCACAATGGCAAAACTACAAAGCCCCAATCTCTGTACCCTAAACCCTGAAACCCCTGAGCCCTAAACCCTAAACCCTAAACCCTTAAACCCTTAAACCCTAAACCCTGAAACCCTGAAACCTTATTCCCACAATTCAGCGACCTTCAAATGTCGGTGCAAACTGCTGGAGGGACGCTAAGAGATTGGATTGCCAGATCAGACTTCTCAGAGACTCCAATATCCCTTAAAATACGGAATATGCCTTAAATTAGAGTAGGACTAGGATCCCTAATCGTAGGATTTCAGGTAGGTTCCTTACTTCAGAGTCTTTGGGGACTGGATTGGACCCCAAGGCCCCCCCATGCTGCCGGAGTTCGCTGTCTACCATGTGGGTGGTTGTCAAAAATTATGGCCCCTTTTTTGGGTACCCTAAATATTAGGTGCCGTATTATATCAAGGGCCCAAAAAGGGACCCTTATATTGACAACCACCCATGTGGCAGCGATTGCCCGCCTCAAAGATTTGGAGAAGGGGCAACATCATTGTCCGACCCACCTTATACCCTACGCCCTAAACCCTAAACCCTAAACGCAAAGCTACAATCTCAACACTCGAAACCTTGAGCTCCATCCTTTAAGCCCTTAAAACGCCCGAACCTCAAACCGAAGAGGCCTAAAGATGCTAATCAACCCCAAACCCTAACCCTAGACCCCCTGATGTCCTTAAGGCCTGAAAGCTCGAAGAACCTAAACCCCTTTAAAACCCTTTCAATTCCAAGCCCTAAACCCTCAGTCCTTAAAGCTCTAAGCCGTTAAAGCCCTTTCTTCCCCAAGCCTTACACCCGAAGCCCTGAAAGACCTAAGCCCGAAGTTCCTCAAGCCAATCGGCCGGCGAGCCACAAGCCCCAAACCCTAAGCCCTTAAAGCTTAAACCCTCAACCCTAAACCCTAGGTGCCAAACCCTAAACCCTAAACCTTTTTTTTTCTCGGAAACTCCCATATGACGAGTAGGTATTTGGACCCTACCTCAATGCTCATGGACCCTCGTAGTGAGGTGCCAAACCTTAGCCCCGAAAGCCCAAACCCTCGCCCACAAAGCCCCAAACCCCCCTTTAGGAGCCTCAGGGTAAGCCCTCAAAGCTTTAAGCGCTAACGGATCCGATGACTTCCACCGAGGAGCGTGATCGGTGTCTCTGAGCAGGCGCGAAAAGGGTTTAGAGTTTAGGGTCCTTTCAGGAGCCCATGGATCCATTTTGGGGAACCCTTGAGAGGAGTCCCTATCTTAGAGGCGCAGGGGACCTAGTAAGTAGGTTATAAGTAGGGTTATAAGTACCCTAAATGGGTTTAATTACCCCATTATAACCCTACTTATAACCTGTTCTTACTTTTACTAAGTCCCCTGGGCCTCCAAGTAAACTCCAAACCTAAACCCCAAAGCCCTCCAACCTCCGATATTTGGGAGCTTCCGAAAATTAGGGGTACCTTCAATAGTACCCTACATAGTAGGATCCTTGTTGTAAGGACCCCAAAATAAGGTACCCCTAATTCTCGGAAACTCCCATTTCAGGAGCCTAAACCCTGAACCCTAAGCACCAAACCTAAACCCGAAAGCCCTCCTATCTCCGATATTTCAGGAGCAAGCTCACCCAGACTACGTCTGGCTCACCGGAGCCGAGGCGGTTCTGCAGCCTTACATGGGCTCCTCAGCTGCGGCCGATCTAGGGAAGTTCGGGTTTAGGGTTCAGGGGGTTGGGTAGTTTCGGGTTCAGCGGCTTAGGGTAGTTTAGGGTTCGTGGTTTAGAGGAGCAGTTTCGGGTCTAGAGCTTCAGGGTTTACGATTGGCTCGGTACACCTTTGAACCCCTACAAAACCAACAGCCCAGAGAGTCCTCTAACACTATTAAGAAAATACAGCGGTTCACACTTTCTCACCTAGTAGGTGGTGTATAGCAACAGCAACCCAAACGCCATATGGGTGGTTGTCAAAATTATGGTAGTTTTTGGTGTCCTTAATACAATACGTCACCAAAAACAGGGACATCTATCAGAAGAGTGGTTTTCGACACTAGCTACATGCATAGCTTGTTAGGTTCACGCTTGTAGACAAAATTAATCAGTAACCAACCTGAAGGCTTCAGGTTGGGTTACTGCCCCGACTGTTGCAGTTGGATCATATTCATGGCCTGTTTATATGTAGTCCTTATTCCCAGACCCCCCGGGAGCATCTAGAAAGTAGATCCCCTAATTTGAGGCCCTATACTACTTAGGGTACTTTATAGGAACCCCATTAAGGGATCTACTTTTTGGATCCTCCCGGGGGTCTGGGTGATGACCCCTAGTACAGACTGTTACAGGGTTGGCTCAGGCTTGTCAACCGTGGGGCCCAAGACTCTGAACCCTCGTCGGCTGTCGGCCAACTTACCTTTGGTTAGTAGGGAATGGAAGAATGCTAGTAACAGTAGTCATAATTGTACCCCATTCCTCCATTCCCTACTAAGTAAAGGTAAGCCAAAGGGTTGCTATAGGGGCCTAAAACTTATTGGCTGTAAACTCAACTTTTCAAATTTTTGGGGTTCTTATAAGGTAGTCGATGCTGAAAGTTCCAACTTTTATTTCCCTGGGTTGTGAGCCCGTGAGCTACATGATTAATTACCACTACTGCGTTGCGGGTTCCTTATTATAAGTACAGTATTATCGGGCCCAAAACCCTATTCCAATTATTAAGGCCCCTAATTGTTCTGCTAGAATTAAAGTAAGCAACCCTGAGAAATAAGGTATACTATTGTTATGTTATGAGCAGCCCTAAGGAATAATCGTTGTCATAGCAAGCTGGGCAGTAGTCCAGGGTTTGGGGTTTAGGGCGTTGGGGCGAATTTTTGCGCGTGATTTTAGGCTTGAAGGGGCTCGGAAAGGGTGTGTAATTACATGGGTAGTGTAGCGGATTTGGGAGTATGACGATGACGCTAAGATGAAACCCCCACAACCCAAAACCATCCTAAACCTGAAACCTCAAGACCCGAAGACCTAAATCCATAACCGAAACCCCATGCCTTGCGGCACCAAACCCACCCACGAAAAAAACAAAATTTCAACCTCAAAAACCTAAACCAAGGAATTATGGACCTGTGCAGTTAGGACCCACACGGCTTGGGCTCCACATTCCGGTACCTCTTCTCCGAAACCTCTCAACCCCAAATTCTAAGCCCTACAGTGGCCTGAATTTATGGCAGAAGTTTTTCTCCCGGTTCTGCTGAGATAGTTATGCTTCAACGTATGGCTCAAATCCCCTGTGTATTCTACGTTTTCAATCGTCTCTATACATAGATATATACACAAAAATAAGCTTGCAGCTTACCACTATGGGCTATTAGACCTTATGGGTACCTTAATCTACCCTTAATAGGGTCCTAATAGGGATCTTTAGGGTCTAATAGCCCATAGTGGTACTACCAGTCCACCACAGGATTCGTCAACCCGGGCACCAGGTCATGCGAGAATGGTTTAGACTTCCCAGAACCCTGTCAACGATCTGAAGGGTTCAGCCCTCACCAGCCCTACAGTAGAAGCCCAAAAGTTAGAAACCCCATAGCCTCGATCCCTAAGAGTAGTAGTGTATAGGGAATCCCAGCACCATTTGGCCTTAATCCGGTTTCCAACTTTATGGGATTTACTGTAATATACTGGTAGAATATACCTCTTGGGTGCTTCTCCTATAAAGGGTCTGGGTTTCCATCAGCCAGGCACATATTTCAAGACTGGCATCCAGCCGACTGCGTTGCAAGCGTCGCACGGTCGCATCAATGGATGCTGCAAATCCATATACATACTAGCAGCAGGATCATTGAACTCGAGTCATGCTACGAAGCCCGGGTCATACATCACGACCGGTAACTTGCATATCTCGCGGCTTCTTGTGTGAAGCTTGAGCCTGTTTGAAAAGTCATGCATTGTTCCTTATGTGGGGGTATCCGAAAATTGGGGTAACCTTATTTTGGGGTCCTTATAATCGGGATCCTACCATTTAGGGTACTATAGGGTCCCCTGTTTTCGGAAACTTCCATGTGGGGTTAGGGTTTGGGTTTTAGGATGCACGGTTCTGTTGATCCTCTAACAGGGAACCCTTAAAGGATTTCCCTCCAAGGCTTTTCTCCAATCCTCAGGTACCGTCCTGTCTACCAGAATGTGAATGGCAAGCAGCCCCTTGGTCTTCTTCGTTTTGGGGCATAGGGCTTTGAGTTTAGAGTTGAGGCTTTTGGGTGTATGGTTTATCGTTTAGGTTTTTTTGTTTAATTGGATTCCCGGATGTGCTTGTCCGTGTCGTGCTAGTGGGTCAGGGCTTCGGGGGTTGTTGCTATCTGGTCGCGTGAGCAAATAAAAGCAAGATCGCTCTATAGTCCCTGAAAAGCCACATAATATTCACCAAAACCCATTTGAAGTTGTCATGCTGAGGCTTTACTATCGTGCCTCCTGGGGTATCTGGCTCTTATCGGATGGTGGCGTCCACGAGAGCGACATCTGGATGGGCCGTGCGTACGCCAAGGTGGGGTGCCTGGTTTGGTTGCAGTAATGCTGCTGCAAAAAGAAAGTCAAGGATGAGTGCCCGCCTATTCCTTAACCTCTAAACCCTAAACCCAAGCTGTTGTAAAAAAGCCCTACTACTGTTCATGGGCCCGAAGTTGCGCCGAAATCATGGAGCATTGAGCTCACAAGCTATCCTAAACCCAGTAAACCCTGAGAAACCCCTTATTGGCTGTAAACTCAACTTTTCAACTTTTGGGGTTCTTATAAGGTAGTCGATGCTGAAAGCTTCAACTTTTATCTCCCTGGGTATTGAGCCAATGAGACCCTAACAGACCCTAATAAACTTCAATAAACCCTAAACCCCAAACAGCTCTAGCTTGCTTGGAGGACAAGTAGGCTTATAATAGGGGCAACTCCTATAACTTATAACCCTACTTATAACCTACTTCCTAAGTCCCCTTGGCCTCTAAGTGGACCCTAAACCCTAAACCCCATAGATCCCTTTAAGGAGCCCTATAGATTCCCTTTAAGGAGCCCTTTAAGAACCCTTACTAAGTCCCCTTGGCCTCTAAGTGGAAGCGCGCCAGGATGACGTAGAGTGTCCCACCCACGCGCGCGGCTGGATCGTCTGGGATGGGACGTCTTGGAACACCACCTACACGCTCCAGGTTGCAGCGTTTTGGCGAATGTAGAGGTCGGAATAATAAGTGGGAGTATCTGATCATCGAGCCTGTATACATACTCCATATAATTACCCAAAACCTGTTCTGGTCAATCAAGAAAACTGGTACATGTATTGTATATATAAACGCATATACTAGTTAGTTTCATGTCTGGCATTTCGATTCCTTTTCACTCTTGTTTCATGTCCATTTCATTCTTTCGTTGTCATTTCATTTCGTCTCGTTTCATCTCTTGTCATGTTCATCTAATTTCATTTCTTGTCATTTCATGTTCTTTTCATCTCATGTTCTTTCATTCGGTTGCATTTTGTTTCATGCCACGTTGCTGTCTTTTATTGTACAATTAGTGTTATATTGTTTTCTTTTCAGCTTGTTTGATCATTCCATTCACTGTCTCTTTCGTTTGTGCATTCCATTTCATTCGATGTTGCTTTCCTCGATTCCATTCCCTTTCGTTCCCGCTTCATTCCGCGACGTCTCCATGTCATTCAAGTTCATTCCGTTCTGTTCCATGTTGATTTCATATTCGTGCCCTTTTACCCTTTGCATCGCGTTTTTGTTAGTCGTTTTTCGTTCGCTTGTTCAATTCAAGCTTACTCCATCTCACTTGACCTTCATTTGCATGCCTCATTCATTCGTTCACTGACTCACTCTCTTCTGCATTGTTGCGATGATTGTGCTCTTGCAGCATACCACTCCTTAAAGGACCGGGGGGAGCTGCTGTTTCGGTCGTAAGAATTTCAGCAAGGGGTTGCATTGCTACTGCGCTTATTTCTGACCTACTTATTACGCTTAGTAGAACTCCCTTGAATCCGACACACAAACTTTGGGGCTCCAAATAGCCCAAAGTAGGTATTATTTATAGACTGTAGGCCCCAAAGTAGGTACCATTTGTGTACTTGCAGCCCCAGGGGAAGCCAGCCCTCCATAGCCCCCAGACCCAGAAACGCAAACCCTGTATGTGAAAGCTAAATTTTGCATCCCGAAGTCTTGTGGGAGGGCTCCCTGAACCCAAAACCCAACAACCCAAACCCAAAATCCTAGTAAACCCTAAACCCTAAACCCTAAGCCCTAAACCCTAAACCCTAAACCCTAAGCCATAAGGCCTAAACCCTAAACCCTAAGCCATAAGCCCTAAACCCTAAACCCTAAACCCTAAGCCATAAGCCCTAAACCCTAAACCCTAAACCCTAAACCCTAAACCCTAAACCCTAAACCCCATAAGCCCTAAACCCTAAGCCCTAAGCCCTAAACCCTCATCCTCGCGCTAAGGAGACGGATGGCATCGAGGAGGAAGGCAGTGAGGCAGCCCGGCCTCTGCAGCTCCTGCACGTGAAGCAGCCGCCACCGCCGCAGCACCTTTCATTAAGGGAGGCAGAGGCGCGGACAGTTTAGGGTTTAGGGTAAGCGCGTTTAGGGTGTAGGATTCAGGGCTTGGGGTTGAGGGTTTATGCAGTCTTTACAAGCTTGGGGTGTTTTGCGGAAGTTGTCGGCGGTTGAGGTGATTTCTTTGAGGGCTGCTATGCTGAGGCAAGCGAAAAGCATGGAAATGCAAGACGAACGCAGCTTCACCGAGCCCAAAACAGAAACCACCAAAGCTCCAAAGCATCGCACCCTTTCCACCAAACCCCGACGTGCTAAGCGGGTAGTTGGCTCCTTTGCGGGTCCCCTTCAAAAGGTTGCCGTACTGTCCCGGCTACCTAGACCTGAACTATCCAAGGCCTTACCGTAAATGAACCCTAAACCCAACTCCTTAAACCCGCCTAAGCCGTTCTTGCTTGAAAAGAGCCCTGAAAGACAACTGTTCACCCCATTCACCGAAGTACTAATATTGATATTGATGCTGATACTAATACAAATGCTAATACGAATGCTGATGCAACTACCATTACTACTACTATTACTCATACTAATACTCATAAGAACCAGAATTACAGAATGAACGCCTTTCTTTGTCATGAGCCCGCTTGTGCCATTGGCTCAGGGTTTCAGTGTCCAGGCCTCAAGAGTTTACAGCCTATGGGCTCAGGGTTTGGGGTGCAGGGGTTTAGGGGCCTCCGGCTTAGGGCTTTAGGGTTTAGGGTTTAGGGTTTAAGGTTCAGGCTTCAGGGTTTAGGGTTTAGGGTTTAGGGTTTAAGGTTCAGGGTTTAGGGTTTAGGGCAAGGGTTGAGGGGGTTGAGGGTTTCGATCTAGACTTAATCCAAAACTCCCGGAACTCACCAGAATCTGTCGCAGGAGGCGCTTGGCTTGCCGAAAGCACGCGAACTCGTTTCCCGACCTGGGTCATATTTGGGAGTTTGTTAGAACGAGGGGTGCAGTGTTTAGCAGAAGGATCCTATGATGTAGGGTGACATCAGGGTCAGTGCTACTTCCGGCTATAGACGTCATGCCCGTACTAGGTATGCTGCGTTTACGATCATGAGTACTACTTATTTAGTGTACAGCATTTGTTTTGCTGGGTTGTCCTTTGGGATCTTTTAAATTTCCCCTACTATTTTGCAGAGAACCATAATCGTAAATAACTTTCAACCGGCTTAAGGACAACTCAGTTTGCTACTCGTCGAACAGACTAGGTCCACGCATTCGGGATGTGTCCGCCTTCTGACACTTCATCCATAAACCCTGGCCTAAGCCCGGCATCCGAATCTCGAATCCCTAAACTAGGACCTAAACCTTAAACCATATTTAGAGCAAGCCCTAAATAGACCCAAAGCCCTGAACTCTTAACAACAATTGGAGCAGGGTCTTAAGGCTCAGACAGCTGAGGTGGCTCCGTTGAAGCAAGACGGGCTGCGAGTCTCGTCGTGGCACCGCGGCGAAAGGTGAAGAATCGACTGAGATCTTGTGAAGGAACTTTGTTTGAGTTACCATAATATCGGGGTCTATAGTGCGTAGTATGTCAAGAAACTTGCTATAGGTTAACATAATCTCGATCCATAGCACATAATATGGTTTTCTGATTATGGTGTCTTGAACTACATTCCCTTTCAAGAACCCAGCCAACTCCCTGCGTTTGTGAGTCAGCGGCCCAAACCATACGTGTGTTGGGGTTTCTGGGTTGGGGTTTAGCGTAAGCTGGTTTAGGGTAAGCCCTAGCTCTAAACCCCTAAATCCTAAACCTTACTCCTAGACTCGAAACCCCACGCCCAAAGCTGTAGCTGAGACGTGAAGCCTGACAGGCCCCAAAAAGTTGATATGCATGTTGGCGGTGCTTGAAAGATCCTGCGCAAGGAGGGGTGTTGGGAATAATTTGGCTAATAAAGGAGTTCCTAAATTAAACAAACGGGAACCTCACGAGTTCTTTCCCAGAGGGTCCAGATACACTACTATTATGGAGTTAGGCCCTAAAAGACCATCCCCATTATGGTTTTGGAGACCTAATCCCATAATAGTAATGTATATGGACCCTCTGGGTTTGGGCATAGGTATTTGAACTACAAACGTCCTGCTTCCCAAGGCATTCGCGACAGAACGGCGGTTGGGAAACGCCTCTTGTGAAGCATTGGAGGTGCAGACAAAGATTGTCGAGTCCCCAAACCTTCAACCCTAAACCCTAAACCGTGGCTTAGGGTCTAAAGCCCACAAGCTCCGCTGAAGTGCAGCCCCAAACACCAGAGCCTGAACCCACACAGGCTGCTAGCCAAAGAACAATCATACCTTCAGAGGCCCAAGTGTGTTTCGAGTCCCTGGCAACTCCCTTAAACCTCAAGATTGCCTAAAGCCTCGTTCCCAGGAAGATCCTGCATGTGGACAATCGCAACAACTTCCTTTCCCTCACTGAGCCTGAGGGCTCGGAGAAGCAGGAGTGGAGGCAGGGACATGTTATAGAAGCCTGTAGAGTAGAGTTTTAGAGGGGGTGCATCGAGGGCCTAGAGGGGTTGTTTTGGGTTTTATCAGGTTTTCAGGGCTGTGGTGAGTTTCATAAAGGCCTCACAGTTGGTACTTAGAGTAGGGTTCACGGGTATGACGGTATACTGTACCCGAGTCATTTGTCGGAAATTCAGGGCCTTGTGTTGATCAGAATGGGCTGCCTCCTTCGCTCCCCGAGCTCTAAACAGGGGTCAGGGTCTGTGGTTGCAACGCCGGGTAGTGAAACTTGCTGCCTAAACCCAAAAGCTCCAACATACAAATAGTACCTACTTTGCGGTCTAAAGTCTCTAAATGCTACCTATTTTGGGCTTTTTGGAGCCAAAGGGAAAGTACATATAGGATCCTCATACAACCCTTATAGGACCCTTAGAAAACGCGCAGAGAACCCTAAAAGACGAAAGACGGAAGCCGCCAACGCGAAGCATGGCCCTAAACCCGCAACCCGAAGCTTGGACAAGCGCCCAAGGCTTGACGCCCAGACACTAACTGGGCTTCTTATCGTCTGCAAGCTCAACTTTTGAACTTTTGGGGTTCTTATAAGGTAGTCGATGCTGAAAGTTTCAACTTTTATTTCCCTGGGTTTTGAGCCAGTGAGGCTTTGGAGTACCATACTTTAAAACTTTTTTGGGACCTGGTGTTTCAAGGGAACAAGTTATGAACAAAAAGTTTATGCTTTTTTCCCTTAATTAGTTCAAAGTTCAGCTAAAGACGCCACATCAGATCCTATTACTTACCTTTGGTTAGTAGGGAATGGAAGGATGGTAGTAATAGCAGTTATGATTGTACCTCGTTCCTCCATTCCCTACAAACCAAAGGTAAGAATAATAAGGTAATCCCTACTGTTAGGATCGTATCGTATACCCCAAAACCGTATTCTCGGTATTGAGGCCCTGGGTTAGCCCCCGAACCTTAACGGCCTTGCCTCAACTCCGAACCCGAAATCCCTAAACCCTAAACCCTACGGCTTGCACTTTGGGCGGAAAAAGGAGCTATAAAGAAAACCTAGACCCTAAACCCTAAGCTCTAAGCGCTAAACCCTAAACCCGAAATCCCAAACCAGGCTCCAACAAGTCATGGCGGTCCTGGACGGAACGGGCGCGCTGAGCTTGGCGTCGCTGCTGGGCATCTCCATGCCGGAGCGGGTTTCAGGGTCTAAGGCTGTTTTGAGCACTGGTGACATAGCCCACCACTGCCATGCTATACCCCAAACCCTCCTCTGCAAAACTCCAAATACATAGAGCGTTCTGTAAAGTCCTGCTCCGGCCTTTCTAAGGCCCTTACAAGGCAACCCTGTGAGGGCTCTGCGAGGTTCTCTTTAGAGGAGCCCTGCTGGTTCTCTTTACCCTATACACTTATGGCCAAAACCAGCCCTTAGAGTTCCCTTTAAGGGAGCCCTTCGAATGCTTTTGGAAGGAAAGAACCGTCGAATCCGCTTTCGGCAGGAGTTGACGGAAGAGAGCAGTCAGCTCATCGCTCTGCACGGCTTCTGGGAAGGCGGAAGGGGGGGGATCTTTGGGTTTAGGCTTGGGCATTCGGGGTTAGCCCCTAAGCCCGAAGAGACTCTACCTATAGTCTCCATTGTAGTTCCTTTTTGGGGGTTACCTTTTAGGATCCTTAATGTAAAATTGGGAAAACCCAAAAAAGGAACTACAATGGAGACTATAGCTAAGCCCAGAAATCCCTTAAAGGAACCCTTAAAGGAACTTTTAAGGGTTCCTATCAAACCGCCTTAGAGATCTCCTAAAGAGACTCTAGACCCTAAAACGCACCGATCCTGTAGGGCACGGGGGGCGACAGGTCAAGTAGAGTCAGGTGCAGCGCTCCTGAGGTCTTTCTAGGAGCTTCTTCCGGCTTTTGGGGTTTACCTACAGTCTCCATTGTAGCTCCTTTTTGTGGTTTTACCAACTTTATATTAAGGATCCTAAAAGGTAACCCCAAAAAGGAACTACAATGGAGACTTTAGGTAGGGCTTAAGGGTTTAAACCCTTAACTTAACTTCGGTCTAGGGTTTACTAGGATGCCCAGTAGTACCCTTATTCCCTTTTTGTAGTCCTAGGTTCCTTATAAAGTTAGAGGCATTTTTATTCTTAGGTTACTGGGTATCCTAGTTTAGGGTTTAGAGGAGCCCTGAACCCTAAACCCTGAACTCTGAACCCCCTGGGTCAGGTTTCAGGGGCCACTGGACTGACAGGACACTTTGTTGATTCAATGCTCTATATGTTAGCTACAGTTAGTCTATAGTCTCCTTAGGAATTACTTTTGTACTTTTGTTCATATAATGCCAAGAGAACATTAAAGATACGATCTTTATTATTAGGGGGGGGTATAGTAGTTTCTGTTGCAGCAGCAAATGTAAAGCATGCGTGCTTGGACGCATGGAGATGCTCGAACCCTGGGTCCGGGTTCTCAGCTCACCGAGTTGCGAAAAAGTACGCCGGGCTAGTCTAGGACCCAGCGTAGGCCCTTATTCCCTTTACCTATTCCTAGGTTACTCTTAAGTCTAGTAGTACTTACAACCAAATTAGGAGTTTGAGTGTCTTGCCTGTACTGTGTCGTTCTCATTACTGAGGAAATTTGCAAGAGTGTGTTGATATTCCGTCAGGTCGATTTTTTGCTGAGGTCCTCGGAGCCGCAGCGTTTGAGCCGTCTGACAATTTGTCCACGTCGTCGTGTTGTAATGCTGAAAACAGTAGTTACTTCTGACAATCACGCAACATTCCTAGCCGGACACAGCTTTTTATGACTGGGGACATGCGAAGAAGATGTACAATAGCTGGTAAATACATCTGGAATGGCTGCTTGAATTGCTGTTCAGAGGCTTGCAACAGAAGCAACAGCAGCAATGGTAATGGCTTCATCATGACGCCAGTGTTGATTACATAAATGCTAGTCATACCGAGGAAGAAGTTACAAATACGACAGACGAGCCGGAGGTGCTGCCAAGAAGGAGAACATCTTGGCTTTGCATTGTGACTCAGATTCTGTCGCTCGGCGGCTCGCAGAGTGCCTGGACCCTGTCAAGGGCTTGGGAACCCTAAACCCTGAACCCTAAACCTTCAACCCTAAACCCTAAACCCCAAACCCTAGACCCTAAACCCTAAACCCTGAACCCCAAACCCTAGACCCTAAACCCTAAACCTGTTTTCTGTCTTTTGGATCTTGGGCTGGGGGTTCCTGCTCAAGCCCTGAATCCCCAAAGCCTAAACTCCAGACTCCTAAAGCCTTAGAGCTCTAAACCCTAAAGGGAACTCCAGAAAGTTGGAATATGGATTAATGGTAGGATCCCCTATAATTTACCTTAAAGGGGTTACCATAATGATATTCCGACTTTCTGGCTTCTACTGTAAAGCCCTAAGCCCCACGCAGAAAAGGAGCTCAGAAAAAAAAACAAAAGCCCTAAGCCCTAAGCATCCTACTTGGGGGGTCGGGAGACTTAGTAAGTAGTTAGTAAGTAGACTTCTAAGTACCCTAAAAGGGACCCTAATTGGGGTTATGATACTTATAAGCCCCTAGAATAACCAGTTACTAAGTCCCCCGACCCTCCAAGTAGAGCCCAAGAGGCATTAACAGCCCCAGAAGCCCTTGTCAAGATCCCTTCTAGGAATCCTTATGGTTTCCCCCTAAAACCCTAGACCCCAAAGACCAAACTTCTTAGGGGTAAATCGATTTGATTTTGGAAATTCGTTGGTTCCTTTAATCCCTAAGAAACAGCTATTATTACAATTTTGTTAGAAGTTTAAGTTCAGTAATCCCTAACAAACCGCTAAAATCATAATTTTTGCTAGGGGTTTAAGGTCAGTATAGAGTTTGAAAGGAATCCCTAAGAAACAGCTAAAATTACAATTTTGTTAGAAATTTAAGTCCAGTTTATTCTCCCTAACAAACTGCTGAAATTACAATTTTTGCTTGGGGTTTAAGGTCAGGATAGAATTTGAAAGGAATCCCTAAGAAACAGCAAAAATATAATTTTGTTAGACATTTAAGCTCACATTGCTGAAGCTCTAATTTTCGCTAGGGGTTTAAGTTCAGTAAACCCTACACCCTCAACAATTTTGTCAGAAATTTAAGTTCAGTATAGACTATAGTTTTTTTTTGGAGTTTGGTACTCTGAGCTTCTTTCGCCTCTCCTGCGGCAAGGAGCTCCCGGCTCGGATGCGCGCTGCGGCCTCCTGTCAGATCGCAGGTAAAGATTGTTTGGTTGAGGGTTTGGCTTAGTGTGTGTTCAAGGGTTTTCAGGAGTTCAGGGTTTAGGATTTCTTGGTTAAGGGTTTCTAGGATTTCTTGGTTTAGGATTTCTTGGTTTAGGGTTTTTAGGATTTCTTGGTTTATGGTTTTAAGGATTTCAGGGTTTTGGGTTTTCAGGATTTCTTGGTTTAGGATTTAGGGTTGAGGGGTTTAGGGTTTAAGGGTGAGGGGTTTAGGGGTTTAGGGGACTCGGGTTCAGAGTTTGGGTTTAGGGTAAAGGATTTCAAGGTTGTAGGGTTTAGGGGTCTATGAGGGCAGCAGGGGTGTAGGATTGAGGGTTTTAGGGGCCTGAATAACGCCACAAGGGCCCACAAACCCCAACTTCAGCCTTCCCCGCAAAGCTTCTGCACTAAACTTTTTGCGTCTCCCGAATCCGCGAGCCCTTTCAAGGACTCTAAGAAATAAGCAGAGCCCAGGAACTCTACCCGTCTCAAAGCAGAAACCATGAAAGCTACATAGCGTAAGCCCCAGGCCCTTAGGCCAATTTTAAGAACTGGAGACGCCCGAAGCCTAAAGCAAGAAGAGCCGCGAAACCTGAAATGGAGGCGGCACCTTCTACACACTGAGCAGTAGAAAAAATGGCAGCGGTTTGATTAAGGCGTAATTGGGGAACTTGGTCAAGATCCCCTTGATCAAGCCTTTTAAAGCCATCTGAATACCATATAGATTATGAAGCCTTATACGTACCCCTACGAACAGGGTCCTGTAACAACCCTCGGAAGCCCCAGGACAACTCAAAGCCACACACCGGCCGTAAGAAACCCCGTAAAGTCAAAGGACGGCCGAAGTGGTTCAAGACGAAGGTTACGAAAACCGTGTACAAGCCCTACAGGCTAGAAAAGCACTATGCGCACTTTAGCACTTCACGAAAACCGTATGAAAACCCGAAAAAATTCACCAAACCCTATAAAACCTGAATAGACTCTACACCCCTAAGCCCTCAACCATAGAATCCCAACCCTTCTATTCAAGCCTTCTGAACCTTAGATCTAGACCCTTAAATCCTAAACCCCCTATATACCCTAAAACCCCCTAAGCCCGACCTTAAGGCACAGCAAGAGGGTCCAAGCTTTGCGACCAGACTATTGCCAGCAGATCCGGCGTAAGAGTGCATGCGCTACGTGCACCCAGAGAATATCACTAATGACCTAAACCCCAAACCCTAAAAACCTTAAACCCTAATCAACAACAAGGGCAAGCGTACTACTGCGGTGAGACACACTCCGTATGCGATGAGGGCGACTCAGTCATCACAGGCTTGCGGTGGTAGTCGCATCGCTACTTTTAGTCAAGAACCTGAAATGAGCCTTAAACCCTAAACCCTAAACCCTAAACCCTAAACCCTAAACCCAAACCCCCTAAACCCCAACATCCCCCAAGACCCTAATAAACCCAAAGCCCTAATAAACCCTAAACCCTAAACCGACCCTACATGAGCCTGCGCTGAACCCAAAGACGTAATAAACCCAAAGGTTTCTCTGGCACCGCACCCGGGAGCTGCCATACGCGCAGCGGCAAAGGTGCTGCAGGTGGGAAGTAAGACGGTTTTTGCGGGGGGTTTGAGGGAGTTTGAGGGGGGTGAAGGGATGTTTGGGGGTTTAGTGTTTGAGGGGTTCAGGGTTCCGGAATGTTAGGGGTTTTAGGGTTTGTTGTTAGTAGGGGTTTAGAGTTGAGGCTTTCGAGGAGGATTCGTGTTCGGGTTTGGGGTCTTGGGGTTTCGGGGTCAATGTAGGAACCTTATTACGTAACCTTGGGCCTTTATTGGGCCTCCTTATATGAATTCTACTATTTTGGGGTTACAGGCCCAGGGTTTCTTAATCAGGTTCCTACATTATTATAGTACCCTTACAGATCCCTTATAGTAACCCTTATAGACCGCTTTAAAGAGACCCCCCCAAAAAAGGCCCAAGGGTTTCTTAATCAGCCTGAAGGGCTGAAGGGCTCAAATGTTTAAGGGTTTCAGGGCTTCGGTCAGGGCTTAAAGTTTTGAGGATTGCGGGTCTTTGTTTGGGATGTACAGGGGCTTTATACGGCTTCTATGAGCTTTCTGAATCAAGGGCCCTAGCTCTTCTATGGTTTCTGTAAATTGTTTGGTCTGGGTTGTATCGAGCGCCAGAGGGTTTCACAGGAGATTTGAAAGTGTTGTTAAAGTGATATCTTTAAGGCCTCCTTCGAATTCCAATACCGGTTGCATTCGGTTTTGCGAGGCTTCTAACAAACTCTGTGTCACCCTAAACCCGCAAGATACTTGACTTTCATACCCTCGTTTATTTTAGCCTGCGCACTTCGCTGCTTTCAACAGTGCCCCGGGTCCTGAGAGTACGGCACGGCACACCTACATATCTTGGTAGCTGAATGGGTGCACTTTACACTTTTGGGCACGGCCCACCTACATATCTTGGTAGCTGAATGGGTGCACTTTATGCTTGTGGGGATAATCCTCTTCAATCTCTATAAAAAGGAAAGTGTCCGCTGTTTGGCCTGATGGACCCAGCAACTAAGACATTCCAAAAACTCAAACCCACAACGTCAACACCCTAGATGATCATACTGATGAAGATGTTGCTGACCCTCGGAGTAGTGGAACGCCTGTGTAATGCGTGAATAGTTGTGATGACAAGGGTCACCAAGGGTCGGCCAAAGAGCCGAACAAACCATGATGATATTTCGTTGCCTTTGTGTTAACTTCAACCCCGGAGCCCCCTAACCCCGTAAATCTCAAGAGCTCCGAACCCTAAGCCCCAAGCCATAAATCCTCCAAAGCCCTCAAGCTCTGAACCCGCGAATCGCTGAACGCCAACCTGCAGTAGCCTTCGAAACCCCCAGAGAGACGAGCCCTTGAAACAAGCCAGAAACATATGACCCCTTGAATTTGAGGTTTTTTCGCACACCTAGGATTTGAGTTTTTTCTCTAAGGTTCAGAGTCTAGGACAAGGTGAATTCATTTATTCGGCTTTTGCTTGGGGGTTCTAAAGGGGTTCAATAGTGAGTCGTTTGGTCTGAGGACGTAGGGTTTCGGAGCTAGGGTTCAGGGCTTTGGATTTCATCTTTAGGGTTTAGGGTTTAGGGTTTAGGGCTTAGGGTTTCGGGTTTAGGGTTTAGGGCTTAGGGTTTAGGGTTTAGGGCTTAGGGTTTAGGGTTTAGGGTTTCGGGTTTAGGGTTTAGGGTTTAGGGACTTTTTGTGGCAAGCGACCTGGTTCAGACCAGGCTCAACAGCGATTCCGCGCGATGCGACAGGAGCTTCAATGTGTTTGTTTGGGGCTTAGGGCTTAAGGTTATGGGGGACCTTCGTAGATGGTGCGTGGCAAAGCTGTTTTTTTACCCTGTGCGGTCCTACAGTAGCACAGTTTCGTAACAAACTCCCGGTGCCCGAAATAAAAAATAAACCGCCGAGTTGAGTGTTTAGGTGTTCGGCTCGGTAGTACTATGCAGAATGTACAGTCAAAAACACTGGAGGCAGACCCCTGACCAAGAAATTCCCTTTGTTTGCGGGTATGGCCCTTCTGGAAACTTCGCATAGCCCTCTCAAAGGCCAGAGGCTAGTCTCGAACGCTGCAAAGGCACTCGAAAAGAACTCCCGAAGATACTGCATAGTATATCCACCAAACTCACATAAAACCCTCCAAATCCGCATTGACGACCCGCATATTTATAGAGAACTTTCGTAAACCTGTAACAGTCTACAGCCCCACAGAGCAGCAAACTGCAAAGCCTCCAAGACCCAAGCCCTAAAGCACTAAACCCTACCGGCCTACAACCCTAAGCCAAAATCCGACCTTACAACACCGATGACCCTCATCCTCGAACCCCTTTAAGTCCTACGCCTCTTTTCCCCAAAGCCCCGCGACCTGAAAGCCCAAGCCGGGAGTGCTCTTGACTTGTGCTGCAGCAACAGAGAGGGAGCGCAGTAACCCGGAAAGCATCTAAATCCATAAGCCCAAAACCACTTTACTTCCTCTTGAACCCTTATAGTATCTCTTCCTCCCTCATCAAAAAGCCTTCAAAAGCGCCGATAAAACACCATAAGATACCGGAAATTGCCATAAACCTTAAACCCCAAACCCCAACCCCAGGCTACAAACAATATGGGAACATACTAAAATCACCGGGAGGATCTCAGGCAGCGCCGCGCCCGCGTGGGCCGGGGGGGCAGTCGCAGCATCGCCGGTTTCCAGGCCCGTCATCGCAGTTGAATTTTGAGCTTTAGGGTTTAGGGGTTTAGGGGTTTAGGGTTTTTTTGGGTTTAGGGGTTTGGGTTTTAGGGTTTAAATGATTGTTACCTTTATCTCATAACAACGGTTTGTTTATACGGAACTTATGATCGTAAGTACTGTCGTCAGTATCATTAGTGATAAGTAATGATGAGTATCATTATCATTAATTCTGGTAAAAATGGATTTTAACAAGCATCACTACGAAGGTAACTGTACAGATATTTATTATCATTGCTCTTGTTACCATTGCTGTTATTCTCACTGAACGATGATTGTCATTAGCATTGCTAAGGCAATTAGAACTGTACTGTCATTATTCATGTTGTTGTTATCATTATCACTGGTAGGATAAGTACCTTGTATTAGTAGTATTGCTATGCGCAGGCGTATTGTTGTTTATGGTTGTTCATCTGTGTGTATTCATACACACACACACACACAAATTGCATAGTTTTCTTGCAAGATATGGCGTTTTTGTATAGGGTTTTTAGGGAGCGTGTCGAGTGTAGGGCTTTGGTGACGGGAACGGGAAGGGCAAAGCCCCAAACCTTGCACCTGAACTCTACAAATATCAAGCCCCAGACCCTAAACACCAACCCCGAAAACCCAACCCCTTAAACCCTAAACCCTGAACCCTAAACCTTAACCCCTTAAACCCCAAACCCTAAACGCTACTGTAGGGGCCTAAATGATTCCCTAGATTTTTGGGGGGGTTCCTTATTATGACTGTAGTATGATATACCCCAAAACCCTACTCTAATTATCAAGGCCCCTACATTAACCCCTTAACCGTGAGTTGAGTCCGAACTTTACAACAAGGAGTGAATACTACGACACCAACTACAAACGACGTTACACGACCACATGCCCACGCAGGACAACATCCATGTCTTCTTTTGTAAATTTTTCCACCTCTCGCAGATGCTGAAAAATCCCAGCGCCGGAACGACTTCCACTTGTTTTTTGCAATTTTTCCAGCTCTCCCAGATTACTTAATCTGTAGGAACCTGATTAAGAAACCCTGGGCCAAGATAGTAGGGCTCATAGAAGGAACTCAAATAAAGGCCCAAGGTTTCTTCATCAGGTTCCTACATGACCGCAAAAACCCCAGGTGCGGAATGCCGCCATTTCTCTGATGAATGCGGCGGCCGCCTGGCCTCCGGGATCAAAGGCCATCCACGGTTTAGGGTTTAGGGTATGGGGTTTAGGGTTTTAGGTTTGGCAGGGTGTTGGGCGCTAAGGCTTCGGAAGTTAGGGTTCTCGGTCACCCAAAAACCCTAAACCCTAAGAATTGTTGCCGTGATAGAATGGCTCAGGTTAGGACGTAAAGTTTGGGTTTTCGAGGGGCTTGGGGCTTGCGTATAAGCTTGCAAGTAGGGTGGAGCCGTTTAGGGCTTAGGGCTTAGGGTTTTGTTTTTTTTGAGTTTGGGACATTTTCTTAAATCGTGCTTATGGCCAATAGGAGTCCTTTCAGGGTTCTATAATGCTTGCTATAATGAACTAATAATATGAAAGCCGGAAACTTGCAGCATGATTCCTTATAGACTTATTGCTCATGTCGAGAAGTCTAGTAGCATCAACCCACAGACCCCATTCTATGTATTAACGCCCTACATCTGGGTTGACCGTAAGGATTTTGGTTGGTCTGTAGGGTTCCTTTTAAGGTTCTTCAAGTCGACCACGACACCCTTGCATCTCCTATGACGATGGTAAAGGCTACGTGTGGTTTTCTGATGAGTCCAGCTGGTCACTATAGATCCGTGGCCCTGTAAACTGTGAGAGTCCTCTCGTCATCCGAAAAGCCCCCGGCCCCGGGTCAAAGACGGTAAACCCCTCGACCTCAACTCCCACGTTATTTGCGTGCTTCTTTTGGGCTTTCATTTTCTCTGAAACTTTGAATTTAAAGTCGCCGTTGGCCATTAGGCTTCTTCACCCTTGCCCCCATCTGCGGTTTTCTTAGGGGATGTCACGTCAGTTGCCCTCATCAGGAACGCAGCTTGTTAAGTATTTGTTAACACCCATATTCATATTCGCAAATATTCCGATTGTGCTGTCTGAAACTACTTTTCGTAAAACGCGGCAACACCCGTGTACAAAAGTTATGCAGCCTAAACGATACCAAGATTTTATGAGATATGTATCGACCACGAAACCACCCTCCACAAATCCTTAAGCAACCCCTATACAAACCCCGACCAAATCCAAAAAGACCCTAAACGAACCTTCTAACCAAAACCCCTACGAGAACTGTATACAAAGCAATCCCAAACCCTTTTAGAACCCCTTCAAAAAATGATAAACAACCCTTGTAAAACCTTCGACGGCTGTACAAAGGCCCTACGAAACCTTTATCATAATGCATCTTCCCGTTGAAAAACACACACGCACATTATGGCACCCTGCGTGAACGATAAATAAAAACCACCCTAAACCCTGAAGCCAAGACCCTCAGCCGCACTTCACCGGGTCAGGTCCTAGAGCTGGAGATCTTAGTCAGGCTCGGAAATTTGGGGCGCAAGAACTGTTGTAAGGGCTGTTTAAAAGGCTTTCGAAGGCTTTTCTGAAGGGGTTTCTAGGGTTTCTCGTAGGTTTCCTTTTGAGGGATCTATGAGGGTTCGGCATGGCTACCCTGAGGCGTTGATGGTTGAGGGCCGTTGCTAGAGATTTGAGCGGTTTGGGCTATAGATCGGGCCGTTAATGTGCCCGGGTTTATCTGTAGGGGCGGGATCTTCGGCTTGGGATTGCTTAGGGCTTATCTGCTGGGCCCCAAAGGGCTCAGGCTTTGGGGTTTTTGGTTTTAGGTTTTGGTGGCTTCGGGTTTATGGAGCCGAACTGCCAGTAGCATCTCCTTCATGGCAATTTGGCGTTGCAGCTGCTCAGCTATCTAGTAGTCATAATAGCCGACCTAACAGTACACTTGTACGTAGTTGTAGTAGCAATGTAGTAGTAGCAGTAGTAGCAGTAGTAGTAGTAGTAGTAGTAGTAGTAGTCGTCGTAGTAGTAGTTGTCGTAGTAGTGGTAGTGGTCGTGGTAGTGCTAGTAGTGGTAGTAGTAGTGGTAGTAGTGGTGGTAATGAAACAACCGATGGTACCAACTACTAGAATTACTAGAGTAACGTGCTTTAGCTTTGTATGGCTTTGGGTCCTTCGATATCTGTTCTCGGAAATGACATGCAGGCTCGTACGAGGATTGCAACATGCTTTGTCCTTTTGGCCTAGCCGTTTCAGTCCAATGCAAACAGCACTGTTGTCTGGGAGTCTTGATGCCCGCGCGCAGTGGTTAAAGTCAGCCTCGCTGCGCAATCAGTTAGTGTTGGGAGGGCCGGGTTTCTTTTGAGCAGGATGGCAAGGCACCACGCCCGAAACGCTACAATCCTGAATTCACGGCCATGTCAAACACTTGTCCCCCCTCAGAACCGTAAAAGCCCCATAGGACTCAACGACGCCCGAAGCCTTCATTGTCAGAGACTCCCCAGGCACAGCAGGCAGGAGGAGGAGGTGGAGACGCACCTGGCGGACATCCCAGTGAAGTTCAAGCCCGCCGCGCTGCTTGAGGTCTAGAGTTTAAGGGTCCTTTGACAGGGACTGCTTAAGGGTTCTATCCGGTTTTGGCATAGGGGCAAAGTGCCAACCTATCCTTTGCCCGTCTCGAGAATGAGGTTCAGATCCAAGACACCTTCAGCCGCACACCCTAGCGTTCGCAACCCTTAAACACGTTGGAGACCTTACCCAAACCCTCATAGCTGGGCAAAATAATGGCCCAACACCTCCAAAAGGCCATTATTCTACATACTTTTGGGGTCCAGGTACTGGGGAACCTAGAACCCGATCTGTAAACTTAAACCCTAAACCCTCAAACCCTAAAACCCTAAACCCTAAAACCCTAAACCGGTAAGCATTAGGTTTAGCATTTCGGGTTTAAGGCGCTAGCGATGAAGCCCAAAGCTCGAAAGACTGAAGAACGGTTTAGGGTTTAGGGTTTAGGGTTTAAGGTTTAGGGTTTAGGGTTTAGGGTTTAGGGTTTACCGAAACACAGGGCCTAGGGCCTCAGATTTTTAGGGTTTAGGGATTAGGGTTTAGGGTTTAGGGCCTCAGATTTTTAGGGTTTAGGGTTTAGGGCCTCGGGTTTTGGGGTTTAGTGTTTAGGGCCTCGGGTTTTGGGGTTTAGGGTTTAGGGCCTCGGGTTTTGCGTAGGGTATTAGCTGGGCTAGGGTTTGAGGTTTTTCAAACTCCGTCCCCGCCGCGGGAGCCCTTTCTGCAGTTTTCGGTTTTAGGGCTTTAGGGTTTAGGGTTTAGGGTTTAGGGCTTTAGGGTTCAGCAGCTCCGGATCGAGCAGTTTTAAAGTAGAGTTGTGTTTACGGTTTAGAAATAGCACCCACCCACTCTCAGAATCCCATAACATCAGGGAAATACAAAGTTTCACTTCTTTCACAGCTTGAAACCTTAACCCCTGAACCCTTAAACCCTAAACCTTTAAACTCTGAACGCTTAAACCCTGAACTTGAAAACCTTGAACTCTTAAACTTTGAACCTCGCGTTCCGGTCAAGAGCTAAACCTTAAATTTGCTAGCGTGTCAGCACCGTCGTTGTCTAGTCTTAAGTAAAGCCGTCGACACAATCATGTTGCTGCTGCAGCTAAACCCTAAATTTTATGCGATGTGAATACCGCTGCTTGCTTGATTTTAACTAAAGCAAGTCAAGTCGTGAACAACTTACCTTATATAAGTCATTAAAAATGTAGGTTCTTCCGGGTTAAGGTAAGGGTTCGAGAGGTTCAATAAGGCCTGGAGTAGCCAACATACCTCGAAACAAGGGATGTGACCCGAAAGATGAATGCAGTCATTTGTCCTACTTGTCTGCGACAATGGCGTTCCTGTGAAGAGCTAAACCTTAAATTTAGTAGCGTGTCAATACCGTTGTTGTCGAGTCTTAAGTAGCTAAACCCTAAATTTCATGCGATGTGAGGTTTAGCACGAAAAACCCTTAGGGGCCACGAAGGTCATTAATGTTTAGCCGTTTTACCCTTGTTCGTGGCCCCTAAGGGTTTTTGGCCCCCCGAAAACCCTTAGGGGCCACGAAGGTCATTAAGGTTTGGCCGAAAGACCCTTGTTCGTGGCCCCTAAGGGTTTTTGGACCAGAAAACCCTTAGGGGCCACGAAGGTCATTAAGGTTTAAATACATATGATAAAGATGTTTAGGGTTTAGGGTTTAGGGGTTTAAGGTTTAGGGTTTCGGGTTTCCGACAACAGCGCTCGATATGCTTTGGGTCTTGTTGGGACTTGACCGGGTTAGGGCTTCACTTTGTGAGCAGCAGCAAGAGCAACCAGTAGCAAGCATGACCGTGGCAACTTACCTCAAGAACTTTTTCTTACAGGGTAGTAGAAAGCGCGATGAAGCCGTTGCACTTCTGCCAGTAGGCTTCAGGGTTTATAGGGGCCCTGCACCCTAAACCCTAGGCCCTAAACCCTAAAGCCCTAAACCCTAAACCCAAACCCTAAAACCCTAAACCCAAACCCTAAAATCCTAAACCCGAAGCCCTTAACCGAAGCCCTAAACCTAAACCCTAAATCCCAAACCCTAAACCCTAAACCCAAACCCTAAACCCTAAACCCAAACCCTAAAATCCTGAACCCGAAGCCCTAAACCGAGGACAAAGCCTTGGTCATTGCCGAGAAAATCGCTGTCCAGGCCCGGGCAATACCGTGGGTGAAGCCGTGTTTGGAGACTGCAGGCTTTTGAATCGTGGGGCGTAGGGTTGAGGGTTTTGTATTTCAGTATTTTGGGCTTGAGGTCTTAGGGTCTAGGGTTTCTTCTGGCTTTATGGAATGTTTTCGGTTGTGAGGGCTTCGGCGTCTGGTATCCCGAGCTGTATCAGGGCCTGAAAAGTGGAAATCATTTTATGAATGAGGGTTTCACTGCTGTCATAAAGGGGGGCCTTGTGACCCCGACCCCTAAACCCCTAAATCCTAAACCCTACACCCTAAACCCTAGACCCTAAATCCTAACCCTTAAACCCTAAACCCTAAATCCTAAACCCTAAACCCTACACCCTAAACCCTAGACCCTAAATCCTAAACCCTAAACCCTAAATCCTAAACCCTAAATCCTAAACCCTCAACCCTTAAAGCCCTTAAAAGCGCTCAGAGCCCTCAGCTCCTGCCTCGCCCAGGTTTCGGAGGACGACCTCCATGTCTTAGACAAGGACGGTTTAGGGTTTGGGGTTTGGGCTTTTTTGTGTGGTTTAGGGTTTAGGGATTAGGGTTTAGGGTTTAGGGTTTGGGGTTTAGGGTTTTGGTTTGGGGTTTGGGGTTTAGGGTTTGGGGTTTGGGTTTGGGGTTTAGGTTTAGGGTTTAGGGTTTGCAGGGTTTAGGGTTTGCAGGGTTTAGGGTTTGCAGGGTTTAGGGTTTGCAGGGTTTAGGGTTTAGGGTTTTCCTTGGTTGCTTTGCGCTGCATGCATTTGGGCTTTTGCATCTTTGGTGACTTTGTGTGTGGATAGGGCTCCGGGTTTAGGGTTTTGGCTTGGGTTAACATAAGGGTCCCAAGAAGGTTTAGGGTTTAGGCTTTAGGATCTGGGGTTGCTACAAGGATCCCCCAATCTTCAATCAGGGGTGCAGGGTTTGCGGCTCAGGCTGTAGTATCCATCCAGAGTTACCACAGGGATCTAAACTTTAAAACCGTGTTATATGGTCTGGATTTCAGGACGGTGGGCCGGCGGATGAGTTGAGGATTTTGAGGGATTTGTACCTGGTGTTCATGTTGTTAGGGTTTAGGGTGTAGGGTTTAGGGATTAAGGGTTAGGGATTAGGCTCTAGGGATTAGGGTTTAGAGATTATGGTTTAGGGATCCTCGTGAACCCCAAGCCCATACATCACCTTAAAGCCCAAGAGCCCCAAAACGCACAAAACCCCATAGCCCTGAGCAACCCTCAACCTTACCGTTGGTTAGTAGGGAATGGAGGAGTGGGGTATAATTATGATTACTCTTGCTACCATTCTTCCAGTCCCTACTAACCAAAGGTAAGCAACAAACTGAAGCCCAGGAGCCCCAAACCCTAAACCCTACTTGGGGGGTCGGGGGACTTAGTAAGTAGTTAGTAAGTAGACTTATAAGTACCCTAAAAGGGACCCTAATTGGGGTTATGATACTTATAAGTCCCTAAAATAACCAGTTACTAAGTCCCCCGACCCTCCAACTAAACCCTCAACAAGCTGAAGCCCAGGAGCTTTTGACTCTGGAAATCAAGGACATCTTGAGGTGCCTTGCTTGAAAGCCATCTCAAGGAGGTCAGGTCGTTCAGGGGTGGAGGCCTTTTTTTGGGGTTTTTTGGGGCTTAGGGTTTTATGGTTTTTTAAGGCTTAGAGTTTTATGTTTTTTTAGGGTTTAGGGGTTTTATGGTTAAGGGTTCAGGGTTAAGGCTTGAAGATTCGAGGAATAGTCCTTCAGCTATATGGCGAAGCTTCCTAGGATGATGGAGGATGGACGATTCCTTCATGAGGGGGAGGTTGGCCCATCACGGCTGCATCTCTTGCAGCTCCAGTTTGTCATTAGCACTCTTCTCTTCGTGTTAGATCGCCCTGGGTGCCATGCTGTGAAGCTGGCCAGGAGTTCTGCGTTAGTTGGTATTTGTGCAATTAAATCCTGTACCAGTTCTAGCCAAAGGACTTATAACTTATATCAGTACGACAATCATGACTGTCATGGCTGTTATGCCTGTTCGCATCGTATACGAAACTGTTGGTTTTCATAGTTGCTGCGTTTGCAGGGTTGCCTAGGATTGTGATTTCTCCTTCTTGTTGTATTCGTGTTGAGTGTAGCAAAATATAATCTTGCTAGCAGGTGTATCACCATGGCAGCAATGCTGCTGTTTGTTCCCTTTCTTGTTCTCTCTCTGATTTCTTCCTGAAGTCATTGCTATCATTGTCGTACGTTTGGTGACCATCATTCCGGGGGGGAAAGCCAGAAGAGGCGAACCCCATGCTTTGCTGCCTCCAAGGCTTTTCCGACACTTCTCAGCGTTGCCAGTCAAGGCAGGGACCCTGTAACCGGCCCTAAAAGGCTAAGTAAGACCCTAAACCCGAAACCTTAAACCCTGAACCCTAATTAAACCCTGAGCCCTAAACCCTAAATCCTGAACCCTAAACTTAAACCCTGAACCCGAAACCCTTAACCACCTGAACCCTAGGCCCCTTGCTCAAAACCTTAGGCCCCAAGGCTTACATATCTTACATCTCCAGTAACCCCTGAAGCCCTAAACCCTAAACCCTAAAGCCTACTAACCGGTCAGTGAATGCCGCTGCTATCCTTGTCACCATCGCAGTTCTCTGTCTTCGGGTTCCTAACAGAGTACCGCCCACCCTTACACAGGGTTGCTGTCAAGGAACTTGACATAAGTTGTGATAACAACGGGGATATACAGTAAATAGTATGGTTTCTCCTGGTTCTAATAACTTAGTTTAAATTGCTTAACAGCAATCCAGGCAGATGATGGGTATCATGATATTCCGAGAGGGTCCATATATACTACAATTATGGAATTGGGCCCCGAAAGACCATCCTCACTGTGGTTTTGGGTACCTACTTCCAAATTACTAGTAGATCTGGATCCTCTAGGATGCTATTGATGAGCCCAGGAAAAATCTCTTCACGTCGTGGGAGGCTAACTGATTTGGTAGGAATCGCAGCTTCAGAACGGGAACCCAACACAGGGACAAGTCGGATCCTTGTCATGAAGACATTCGAAGACAAGACCCTGACTCGACCCTTGACCCCGACATCCGAAAACCAAATGACACACCCTTAACACCCAAATTTCCAAGCCCTGAAGCCCAACCCGGTCTTGAACCGCTATAAGAACTAGGACCCTATACCCCTAAACCCTAAACCCTAAACCCTAAACCCTAAACCCTAAACCCTAAACCCTAAACTATACATAGAGACCCAAGCCCCCTAAGCCGTCAGCACCCCGAAATTTTCCGACGCCAGGGCGATCGTGCTAAGCTCTTCTTGACCGACGCTCCCCTGAGCAGAAGTATGCTGGAGGCCTGCAGGTTCAGATTGGGGTTCAAGTTAAGGGGGTATATACTATAGTCTCCTTAGGAATGATTTTTATGTGTGTTCATACAAAACCCAAGAGAGTATTGAACATATTTGTTTTATTCTGGTTGTAAAGGGGGCTATCGTGTAGGGGTTGAATAAGTTAAGTAGGTTTTCCTTTATATGGTTTGGGAGCGATTTTGTACATATTTTACGGGCTTTCTGGGGTTTTGGATGGGTTCCCAGAGAGCCCAACACCCCTTTCCTTGAAGAATGCCCCTTGAACCAGAATGCAATACAAGGTTCCTGCTGCAGTTGAAGAAGTATTCCAAGAACCACCCAAACCCTCAACTCTACAATTGAACTCAAACTCCTCAATTGACGGGTAAGTTGGTCGTTGGTCTTTCTGCCACTTACTCAAGCAATATACATTAAGTTGTAACATTAAGGCCGCTGTCTACAAAATTTCAGGTATCTTGCAGGGCTTAGGGTACTGTTGTATGATGGCTGCGCAAATCCTCATTTGAACGGTATTGGGCTGTCTAGCAGGTTCAAGGAATCCCCATTTCGTGCAGCCTTTACATAATGACGAATTTGTCCAACATGTTCTTCCGAACACCAGCCACAAGCTAGGCTCGCTGCTTGGCTAGGTTCGGCTGAGAAGGGAAAAAGATATGCAAATTACTTCACCTACAGCCCAACCTCAACCGTCCAAACCTTGAAGCCAAACCCCAACCAAGCTCCAGATTCTACAGAACCTACCATACGGACCCTTGAGTAAGGCACCCTTGGTTTTCTGAAGCCCTTACATCCGTCCTGCCGTATAACAGAGGTCGGAGGAATTAGGAATACTATCCGAATCCTCATATTATGCAGCTGTACAGTGGCCCATGCCCCCTCCATGTATTCAGGACTTTTATTTCAACTTTTGTCAGCCCACTAGCAACACACAAGAAAGCCTTATGAACAACGAAAGCAACCCAAACAAGACCTTGCAAGTCTTTGTCACAGGGAGAGGACCGGGCGCTTCCCGCCTTGCGCGAGGCTTTGCAGCAGGCCACCGTTGCGTGGTGTGTTGAATTGAGTTTAAAAACTCAGCTCTTGAATCAATGCTTTTGAGTTTAGTGGAATATATCCGAATGGAGCAGAAGCTTTTGACGATTGAAAGCCCCTAAACCCCTCAAAGAAGCCAACCCTAAATCCTAAACCCTAATTAATCCCCAGACCAAACATCCGAACCCTGAGTTCGGTGTGATGGAGTATCAGACGTCTAGCGCGTCCTGTGCAAGTCTTGCATTTGGAAATAGGGGCTGAACAAAAACCGAACCCTGCAAACCCAAAGCCTTAAAACCCGGAACCATAAACTCCGAACGCTGCCTAGACCCCCCAACTACCCTCTAATATATCCCAAATACCCATCATCAGGGACCATAAGGGCTCCATTAAAGGGCCCTTGATGGGTCCTGGTAAAGCCGTAAACCCTACACCCCAAACCCCACACCCCAAACGCCCAACGCCAAACCCCAAACCCCAAACCTCATAAAACCTAAGCCCTAAGCCCTAAACCCTAAACCCTCAAACCTAAGCCCTAAAGCCCTAAGCCCTAAACCCTAAACCCTAAACCCTAAACCCCAAACCCTAAACCCTAAACCCTAAACCCTAAACCCCAAACCCTAAACCCTAAACCCTAAACCCTGAGCAAAGCTCGAGATGCAGCTTTCGAGGCGTCGAGCGACTGGCTCTCGGTCGCCAGCTGCCTTGGCCACAGGTCCGTGTCGTTTGAATCTACATCCTTTAAGGTTTAGGGCTTGATTAGGGTTTAGGGATGTTTAGGGTGTGCATACATGTATCTGTATCTGTGCGTATATATATATATATATATATACACACACATATATACAAATCAACTGTTCATGTAACTTATAAGGCTTTGGGTGCTGGGTTTCAGGTTTGGGGTCGCTGCGTTTTTCTGTGTTCCATGCTAACTACATATAAATAGAACAAAAAATAGTTGAATAATTGAAAACACACATATCAGTACATAATACACATACACACATAATCTCTTCTGGGGCACCATTAAGAATCTTACGAGTTTTCAACAGTACAAAATCCAGGACTTCTGTTATGTGACGAAGGGGTTCTTTGGTGCATGCGCAGGTTGTCCTCTTTTGGATCCCCGAAAGTCTAAATAGCAGCCTTACTAAACTCCTATGGGCCCAAACGCCTGAATCCCCAAACCTTACCCCAAACCTATACCAAATCCCCCTTCAACATGAAACGAAGCCTTCGACGCTTTGCCAGGCTAGACTTGGAAATGGATTACCATAGCACGGACCTGAGACGATCGTCACGGGATTGGGCGTGAGTGCACGACTGGTGTCGGCAAGCTTTTCAAAGCGTATACTGAACTTAGGGGTCATGTTCATCGCACGTATAACCAGGACCCTCAAAACTTCGGATCCATATCGGGGTCCTTTCTGAAACTCGCATCTAGGATTTTGGGTATGTGATAAATTGCTTAATCATGACAATACAAAAACAAGGGCAAACATAGGGCATACCAAAGTGCGGCGTTTCAATCATATACTACAGTAGCAACAAGGCACCCCTGTTTCTCAGCCAGTGCCTGGGTTCCTTAAGCAGCTTGATATAAGATACCGACAATTTGGTTTCTGCCATATGGGTGTTTGTCAAAATAATGGTCCCTTTTTGGGTACCTTCAATATTAGGTGCCGTATTGTAATAAGGACCCCCAGAGGGACCCTAATATTGACAACCACCCATATAGTAATGCACGCTAGTAGTCAGCGGAGTTTCTCAACATGACCGAAACCATGCAACCTAAGCCGCAAACTCGCATTACTTAACAAAACCCAGAAGAAACTGTGAGTCCACCGAGGTCTCAAAGAACGAGCGAACCGTCTGGTGATGAGGCAGGGATGCGGTTGGCATTCTAAGCTCCTTCAATACTTCTAACCAATTTCCATACAATAGTACTACTACGACGACTACTACTACTACTACTACTCCTGCTGCTACTACTACGACTACGACTACGACTACGACTACGACTACGACTACGACTACGACTACGACGACTACGACTACGACTACTGCAACTACTACTACTTCTACTTACTACTTACTACTTACTACTTACTACTTACTACTTACTACTTACTACGTACTACTTACTACTTACTACATACTACTTACTACTTACTACATACTACTTACTACTTACTACTTACTACTTACTACTTACTACTTACTACTTACTACTTACTACTTACTACTTACTACTTACTGCTTACTACTACTACTTACTACTACTCTTACTACTACTGCTACTACTGCTACTACTACTACTACTACTACTACTACTACTACTACTACTACTACTACTACTACTGCGACTACTGCGACTACTGCGACTACTGCTACTGCTACTGCTACTGCTACTGCTACTGCTACTGCTACTGCTATCGCTACTGCTACTACTGCTACTACTACTACTACTACTACTACTACTACTACTACTTCGACTACGACTACGACTACGACTACTACTACTACTACTACTACTACTACTACTACTACTACTACTATAGAAAAAAGATACTAATAACGATAGCAACAATGACAATAACAAGAATAACAACATCACTTTAACAATAGTAATTATAATGGCAGAATCATGTAAAATAATCACAAAACTAATTGTCATCATAAAAACACCAAAATGAGAGTAATCTCACTGGTAACTAGAGAAAAACACAAACCCAAACACGCCAAGAAGCACGGCATGGTCTTTGCTCAAGGAGTTCATTTCTCTGAGAGCTTGGCTTCTTGATACGCCTTGTGTTGGCACGAATGCAGTAGCAGCTTCCGGCCACTGAACCGACCTGATGTTGCAAGAAAAGCTAATTCAACCACAGGGTCAGTTAAGTCGTGATGCTAGCTTGCACGGAATATTCGTGGCATCAATGCCGTTGCCTGGTAGCGACGGTGCCTGCAAGCGCTGCGGCTATTGCAGGTCTCCGCCAGGATTTCGGCCGGGTGGCTCTCTGCCTCGGGCCGCGCTTGGAGTTATATCAGCGAGCCGTTTGCGTTTTGGAAGCAGTTTCTTGGCAAACACCCCGGCTTCACGGCTAAGACCACCACATGGCACAGCCGGATGGAATCTTGGAGCGGACCCAACAAGCTATATACAACTCAGATGCTCGGGGCCCGTGTGCCGTATCAAAAGCTTGCGGCGAGGAGTCAGCGGACCTGCTCCCGTCCCCCTGCTGCAAGCTGCAAGCTTCTCAGGTCACGCGAATAATTGTAGCCACTTTTTGAAGCTGCACGTGGCGGGGTTCATTTGTAGCCTGGTCGCGCTGCATCAGCTTTGGCTGCTACTGCTACACTGCACGGACAGAGGCGGGAGGTGCTCTTGTGCTTCGCCTCACGCTGGGATGACGATGCTAAACTCAAGAACGACTTGAGGGCAAAAGTCACACCTCGCAAGTTGCTGGCGAAATGAAGGTGATCAGGCACTGCCTTGGAGAGCTCGCAAAAACAGTTAAAGTCGTGCTTGTGCAACTGTATTCAAAGCTCCAGGCCCTTTTGTGGATTGGGCCGGATCGGGCACGTAAACCGGGAGTTCCTTACCGACCTCTCTCTCTGCGTCTTCGAAACTCAGCTTTGGTGCTGTCAAGAGCGGATCCGGCCTGGTGGGCGCAACCCGCCTGACAGTGCAGTTCCTTACACCGATACAGTTACAGTATCTGCCAAAAAATGAAGCGTACCTCGCAGGGGAAGTGCTTCTTGAGAAGGTTGCAGTCGTTCAAGAAGTATATCCTAAATGCCGAGTTTCGCTCACAGGTTGTGGCAAACTGATGGAATGCTCAGCTTTCCACTGCTGCTTGTCGCACTTAGCATTCCTCGCCATTTCACACAACTCGCGGAGTTGGTGGAAGCGGATTTCGGGCAGCGCATGTAGATTGGGTTCGATGGAACGAAAGAGGCATGATTGCACGAAACGGCTGGAAGTGGAGATGCTGTTTTCAGATGTCGGTCCTTGACTGGCACACCTCCACGCACGACCTCGATCGCACGCGGCGGTCTTCAGTTGACACGTGCTTCCAAACATTGCCGCAGATCGCTTGAGACCGCTACTTCCCCTGAGAGCCAGGAACAACCTCAAAGTTCGAGTTGAACCTGTGCACAGGTTCTCTTTTGGGTGTGCGGATGAAAAGTCAGGAAACTTCGTCCCGATATGGTGCAGGATTTGCAACACAGGGTCAGAGCTCTGGAGTCAGTGAAACGAGGACATGCTTGGGGTCTGGGCCTCGCAGCTTCAGTTTTCATGTCCAGACCATAAGTGTCTCGGAAAAGGGCTCAGGGCCTCGGGCAGCCTGAGCTTGTGCACAGCTTGAACGTCGCCATGCGTGTTTACATGATGCTTCCGTTTGTGATGTATCTCAGGATGGAGGTTTTGATCATCGTGCTGCCATTTGCAGGCCAACACTCACTTCGTAATGCAGCTCGCGCTGTCATCCAAGCTGCTACGACTTAGCAGGGTCTTGCTGGCCCAGGAATGGATCCTGACATGTTCCTGACCATGCCCATGGCAAAGGACTTTCACAGCATCCTCCCTAGAGTGCAAGCAGTGTCGCTACGGGGAAATTGATGAATTGCAAACTTGTGGTGGTCGCGCCTTAGCTGCTCCTCTGGTCGCAAGAGCCCCAGCTGACTCCTGGAGTACACCGGCTCATGCTCTTGCAGGTCCATGCTGACGAGGTTGGGCCGTTGGCTCCTCTTATCCACCATCAGCAAAGGGACTTGCCTGACTTGCTGGCGCAAACCCCTCTGCAACAGATCTCCACACCCTGGAGGCGAAGTAAGCGTCTGGCTGGCTGACAATGCGCCCAACCTTCGAACAGAAAACTCTGCACGTGATCTTCTTGCCAAGAAAGTCGACATGCAGAGTCTGCGTTGCAAAATGGTGTCAGATACTGAAGCCCGAGAGCCAAACCACGGTGCCATAGTGCTCAGAGCGCACGTCCGCTGGTATCGAGCCCTTGGTGTTCCTGGTGTCGGCTCGACAAGGAAGAACATCCTCTGTGAAGAACCTACGTCAGACTACCACGCAAAAAAAAACAAACTGCGCAGTTGGTGACAGTCCTGGGAGACAAGCCCGCAGCCTCCGCATACTGCAGAAACTCCTCGTGCCTCAAAAGAAAAGTCAGGCTCGCCTCCGACTGTTTGTGAACCCATTCTGGCTCTGAGCTTGGTGCACATACGGAACCACATGAAGCACTTTTGGCCTCAACGGCTCAAGTACTTCGTAGACACTGGGGCAACCAGCTGCAGACTTGTGCTGCTTCAGGTCTTTGCAGCTTCTTGATCGGCTTTCCGCTTTGTGCCTTTAGCTCCTGCACTCGTCTCCAATTTCAATCCGCAGTATTTGGCTGTGACGATGTCCTTCAAGTCCAATCTAGGCGCTTTGGCAACTGCCTGTCGGTGCCAAGCATCGTAGTCCTGCGATCCAGCACATGTCACAGGCCCGGCAAGACCTGCAAACTCACCCCGCTCTCCTCAGCAACAAGATAGGACACATTACCTGCCAGCTGGTGTTTGTGTCGAGCGGTTCAAGTGAGCAAGACCAACACCTCGAAGACGTCAGTTGTAAGCCCCAAGCCGAATTGTGCGCAGGGCTCGGTAACCTGAAATGCTTCGCGGTAGGTTGCAGCAAAACATTTAATTGCAAGCAAATGTCCAAATAGCGGGACGGACAACCATGGAGACGAGTGGGACGCTTTTTATCTGCCATCCTGGCTCCTGCTGCCCCCATGCTCAAATATCCGGAACCACATTCGGGCACCTGCACCAAGTTTTTGGGTTGAGCTCGCTTTCCTTTCCCTGCTACAGTCTACATCTGTTGGCATGTCTTGCCTTCTTCATAGCCCACATGGCTATTTCCCTAATCCTTTGCTGCTTGTCTAAATCACTGTTGCCTTGACTAGGCCAGTTTCGTCCTTGTTTCTGCTGTGGGTCGAATATTTACCAGCCTTGGCTCCTGGAAATCCTGAAACTGCAAAACGCTCAAGAAGAACAGCTCCTTCATGACGACTTCAGTTGTCTTCTAGACCCTGGAGTGACTCACACATTTACATGTATGCGCGTGCGTGTCTGCTTCCAAAATCCTCCAGACCTAATGCCTGGGAGTGGCCCTAAACTCTGAAACAGGTTTATTGTAGGGTTTAGGGCTTAGGGTTTGGGGTTTATCAAATCCAGGAGAAAACATCCCGTCTTCAACAGAAAAACTTGACTTGTTTGCTCGGTGATGTCGGTGGTAGGAGGCCTCAAAACGTGGGACGAAGGTAGGTAGGATTTTTGGATCCGTTAAACAAGGACTCGAATTTTGGGACTACCTCACCTACCTTCATCCTCCTACCTACCTTTGAACCCCCGAAGCGGCTCGGGGTCGATTCCTCGAAGGTCGGGCTGTGAAAGCCCACGATTCAGCGGATGGATCTTGCAGGGGATAGCACGTTCATGCAAGAATCTGCGGACGGATACCTCGAGGTCTGAACCAGCACGTTGCCAGGGCATACAGGACTTTCCCCAGCCTGTGATGACTGCGGGCGATATCGATGCATGTCTCGGCATCCTGGCAAGCTGCTGCGGACAACCTCCGCGAGCCACCACGACACCGCAAGCATTGCTGAACTACAGGAGTGATCATGCAGATCAAGCCAAGCTCCACCTCTCTGCAAGATGTCTGGCCACGTCTGGTTCCGCATGGCTTGATCAAAAAGCTCGAAACTGACCGCCTCAGGCCAGGCTGCCTATGGCTTGCCCGTACGTTTCTGCATCTGGTTGTAGCTGGTTCCCTGTAATCGAAGCAAACAAGTACAAGGCCAGCTCCCAGATGCGGGCAGTGCCACAAGATTGGATGCCAGCACCATGGCTCATCTCATTCGGCACAACTCCGGCAGCCGGCATCTGCGACAGTAAAACAGAGTGACAACATTCGGCACAACTCCGGCTGCCGGCATCTGCGACAGCAACCACAAAGCCATCTGCCACTCCTCTCCAAGCGTGGCACCAAGGTGGGGTCGCAGCTTCGCAGCCTGAGGCCAGTCCAGGCCAAGTCTTCGCAAAAGCAAAGCAAAGGGACCCCTGGTGCTTGGAAAGGTTGGCATTTCGGAGTTGGCGCCGGGCTGCCGAAGCCCACGTCAGTCTACCAGTATCCCGCCGTCCCCGCAAGCACAGCGTGATTTCTTGAATTGCGACCGAGCTCGGCGAGGGAATCGTGCCTCGTCTTGCTGGCGCACATGCAGCCGAGCCTCGATCAAGTTTAAGTTTGCAGGAACCACGTGTAGCACAACGAACACGGACCTGTTAGCTCGAACATGATCATGTGCATGATCAGGATCACGATCATCATGATGATGATGCTGATGACGATGTTGTTGTCGACGATGATGCTGATGACGATGATGACGGTGGTGATGGTGGTGATGGTAGTGATGATGCTGATGATGCTGATGCTGATGGTGGTGATGGTGATTATGACGACGATGATGACGATGGTGATGCTGGAGAAGGTGGAGGACGACAATAATGCTGAGCATGACCGAGTTCCTGCAATGATGTCAATGCTCTGATCAGTTTGATGCGCTGGCCTCGGCAAGCTCACGGCGTGCCTCCTCCGCCTCACAGGGCTCTCGCTGCAAGGTGTAAAGCCCCATGCTCCAGTTGAGGGTGGAGGATTCTTCTATGGGGTTTAAGATTTAAGGTCCTTTCCGCATCCTCGCCTTCGACTGGGCTTCTCTGGTGCGGCGCTGGGAGCCCTTGCGCCTGGCACCGCAGAACTGCTCTCCCCTACGCCCCAAGCGGCCCCTTCCCTCCTCCCGCTGTGCTGCAGACATTCGCCCATGCCGCGTTGGAGGCTCTCCAACGTTAGGACGCGGTCTCGGAGTTGCGTCACCTGGCTCTGAGCGTCGTCTCCGGATCCCGGTCTCCCCTAATGGCACCCCGAAAAGCCATCACAGCCTGCGTGCATAAAGAACAAAAGCCCGGGCCCCAGTTAGCCCTACTTATCCGAGATTTCAGGGATGGAGCAAGGCAGTTGTGCACGAAGTATTATGCGCGGCAACTCAATTACAAGAGACGCTGTTGCCTATGGACCTAACTTTAACTCTGCTCGGCGCCTCCTTTCTGCGTCCTGATCGAATTCCCTACTGAGCTCGCCACTTCCAGCAATTAGGAGCGGCATCTGTTCTCGCTGTGCGCTATGCTGTGCCAAAGGCACCAGAAACCAGGTGTGGCAAGCTCACTGGTGAAGCTCGCTAAAGACCCGGAAGCATGCAGTGTCCGTACTCATCGTCCTGCTTGGGACTCTGTGACATTGTCTGAACACCAGAGATCTTCAAAAGCCCAAGAAGTCAAATGCCAGCAGTCATTGCTGCTGGTGTCAGCCAGCCGGCCCCCTCAGCAGCTGCATTTTGTTGCTTTCTTTGCACATGCATAAACAATAAACAATTCTGAGAAGGCGATCGCCCATGATGGGGTCTAGTAGGTTTCTTTCTAAGCCAAACGGTTCGCCTAGCAGTATGCCTATGTTCCGAAAAAGGAAAAACTGCCTCATTGCTGAATGCTTCCACTGGCTTCAGCAGGGGCGATGAACTGGCTCAATGATTCAACAGTTCAGCGTGCTTCTTCTGCAAAAGCCCACATGATTGCTCCAAAAGGCTCAATGCTGGAATGGTTTGTTGCCTGCTGCACTTCATGACAAAGAACGATAGGTTTGTGTTTTCTGGCATCGTGGTTGGCGGATGTACTTCGATTGCAGCTGTTCTACATGTTCTATATTGACAGCACAGTGCATCCAGTGTATAAATGCTGATAGTTACTATCGGTATACTCTGGCATAGTGCTCGCTCGGCATACTTAGCAAAAGGTCGGGCTTGGTTGGGTATATGACCTACAGCTAATGTCGGAAGTGGTATGCACTGGCATCTACAAGGATAAATTAAGGTACAAGGGATATACAGTACGCACCCACGCATGCACGCCTGCATGTTATCATGCATGCATGCACGTAAGTAATGACTCAAATATGTACAAGTATGTGCATAGATCGCGAGCATCAGCAGTTGCTGAGTAATGCATAGCAGCGGGGCATCATGAAAAACGCATTACCAGGAAGTACATGAGCGTAAGGAACCATACGCTTCTTTATGTTGGCATGTTTGCATATCAATCGCGTACGATCCAAAAGAACATATTGCAGCATGGGATATAGTACCAGTTTATGATTCATTAAAGTTCAGCTATCAGTATATGGTTTAAGGCTCACCTATTGGTATCATCTACATGTATAAACCTCCCCAGACAGACTTCGTTTGATCAAGAACATCTAGTGCTTCACTGTGTTGTACGCAACACTGACTTGCAGGCCATGACATACAACCGAAGATCGATGTTATACTTGTCGCGCCGAAAACCATACAGTAGACGCTAAAGAATACAGCGAGATGTACCGTTGAGCACGAAGTCCGGTCTTACCTAAATACCTTACAATGGCACAAAAGCAATGTTGACGATCCGAAATAACTGTGTCGACGCAACATGCCCGTAATTTGGCGCTTTAAAGCATTACAACATGCAGTGTTTGCACTTGTGTGCGAAGCTGAAGCCGTGAATGAACATGAAGAGCTACAGGATGTGTGATCATGCTCATCGTACTGGTCAGATAAAGCAATACAATCGCGTGAGGATCCGCATAAACTCTCTTTTGACACGAGAGAGTATGTACCAGCACGCGGTAACCGAGATAGTATAAAATTAAGGAACAGAATATGGAATAGCGGCTTTCACTAGCAAGACTGCATGGCAACAATGTTTACGGGTCTGTTGACATACAGTTAGACTTAGAACTTGGCAGGGTGTACTTCCGAATTGTGCGGTCTGGCTATGACCATGCATAGGTCCCTGCAGCGGCCTGTGTATACATACACACATGCACACGCACATGCACACCAACATAGGTAGGGGAATTTATTAAAGTAAATTGCGCTGCAACTTCTACGAACATGCACCCGGACCAGCGAACTGCTCTTTGCACTGCAAGAGGCCTCGAAGGTCGCACAGCAGCGGTCGGCAAAGCCTGTTTGTGCAACAGGCAGCGCATGGAAAACAAAGCGAGACAGAGCCTAGATGAAAATGCAGCAATACGATCCTCTGGCAAACCTTGTACACCCACACTATCAGCTGCACCCCCCAACCCCGCGTCTATGCTGCGAGAAACCCCTAAACCTGTGCAACAAGCACTAAAGCCTGCCCATTCATTCTAACAGATCTGGGTTGCTGCGGAAGGGCGAAAAGTCCATTCTGGCACATCTCCGGCACCGAGTAGCTCGCACACCTTGGGCATAAAAACCCGAAAGCCTAAACCGGAAACCGTGAGGAGGTCTTCGCACAACACGAGCGAAGGCAGGAGCGAGCCTCACTTGCGAAATGGCAGCAGTTTCGCTGAAGGAGGTGGTACTCACGGCCATGCCACTGACCAGCCTCGTGCACAACACAACAACGTAAAATGTCGTTCGTCCATCCTACGGTCCCAACAGATCAAATGAATGTGCAACGGAGCTTCTAAATCACGGTAGAGCTCTGCAATCTGCTGCTCCGACTGTTGTGTCGGAGTCCTCGGCTCGCA